CGTCATGGATCAGTTTCTTGCATTGACTTGTACGTTACAATAATTATTAATTGCCTCTCAAAGACACGAACCGCATTGCAGCGCAACGTAGCGGCGAATCTCGTCCCTAGATCACACAGAATCACCTTAAATCACAGATCTTTCACACATGCAAGAACTCCATTGAATGAATCGTGCCCAAAGATGTTTCATAAATTTTACAACCGTTTTAGAATTACAGCGGGTATGCTCTTTTTGCGATTTAAAATTGGCAAATGTACCAAGTCCGGTTTTTATCATTTCCCGACTGGAGATTTGCATAGAAAGCCCATTTGTAAGCACGATCCCACGTGAACCCTCGAACCCGCGTTTTCCCCCGCAAAAAACCCTCAACCAAATCGACCCTTTGCTTCGCCCACTGTTCCTTTTTCTTTCGAGTGACTTGGATGGATACTTCCGCATCATAATCCACGCTCTCCTCGTTTTTGTCGGGCGATGGCAGTTGTCGAAGAGATGGGAACACCTTCCCATCTACCGTCTATAAATAAGAGGAGAAACTCTGTGATTACATTCGTGGTGTGTAGTGTCTTGTTATGGGAAAGAACGTCGTGTGTGAAAGCTTGAATGTCGCCAAATATTGTTCGATAAAATAGTTGTTCTTGAGAAAAGTTAAGAACATTTTCTGCGGAAATTTTAGAGACGCAATCTTTAATTATATGTGAAATTTCCATCCCATTCAAAATAAATCATTCGCAAATTTTCCAGAAAATTCCCCCGCTAAAAATGACGAGTGGGCTATTCAGAATTCGCCAACTCACATGAGTAGAACCTCCTACTTATATGAGTTTAGAAGTCCTTATCATATCCTTAGTTCTACTCATAAGAGTAGAAAAGTACAACTCGTGTGAATTCAAGTTTTTCCATTTTTCAGAAGTGCTGTTTCTGACCGGGAGACACCGACCTCATGAGTAAATTTGAAAAATAAAATCATTTTGTTCTTATGATTTTTTTGATGCGGTGACTAGTTTCTGATGTTTCGGAGGTATCGGACACGGAAGATTCAACGCTGATACGCTGAATTCATGTGAGTTGAAATCTCTAAGTCATATGAGTTGGTGAAAATTGGATAGGCAAATTCTGCTCATATGAGTTAAATTCTATACATATAAGTTGAAATTCTAAAATTGTTGTATATACACCCATCTTCCAAATTCTTTGTAAATACGTAAATAGCCTAAGATGCTGAATGTCTTTAAATATAATCTCACCTGTGTGATCTATCGAATACGATCTATAAAAACCATTGAGTGAACGTGCCGGCGGGTGAGGGGTGTATTAGACGCGTTTACTCGTGTTGGGCACATTTTTTGTGAGAGCCCTGCTGTCAACACTGACAAAAGTTCACGGAACTTTGCGCGAAAGTTCAGTTCCGTAAACCCATCCCTGTTTGGACAAGGCCCTCCATTTATAACAAATGAACGAAAAAATTATGAAAGAACCAACTTAAATGTGGTTAATAATTTTAACTTCCGCCGCCGCTCCGACCGCCGTGTGTGGGACGCAATGCGTGAAGTATTCATGCAGTCTTGTAGGCGCTATGCGTTTCATGCCGACCGCCGCGCCGAGGGCTTCTCCTTTTCGTCTCGGTCCTCGCCATCATTGATCTCTGCGCCAGTCCGCCCCAGGTCAAATTGCGAGTTTGTTTTCTTTCTTAACTCGACTAATTAAAGATGCTGTCTCTTGTATCACCGAAAGACGACAAAATCAGAAATTACCGCACTATTACTCTCAAAAAACGAGAGATTTTGTCGCCTTTTCTCGTTGTAATTTAAATCTGAATCCGATTTTTTTCTCTTTTTTTTAATACCTACATTCGAAGAGATTGTAAAATTTGCCGCCCCCTATTTTGCCGCCATGGGCCGCGGCTCACGTGACCACCCCCTTAATGCGGCCCTGTGTGATAATTACTTATAGTGTTTGAAACTAACGGAATCGCTATCTGAAACGTATCTGCTTACGTAGATTACCAATTTTAAATTTGAGCCGGTAAATTTTAATTAGTTTTCATTTGTTTCCTTGGAAAGATTTTATTCTAAAGAGCTAGGTTCAATCACTGTTAGCAAGCACAATAACTATTAGATCAGAGACTTTGAGGTCATAATTATCCTAAGGTCGATCAAATGCTGTCATTACCTAAAATTTAAAAAAGTAGATAGGTACACCCCGAACCCCTGGCTTCACTAGCTCACCTGAATTTTTTTTTTTTTTTTCCAACTCTCTTTTTATTCCCCATCCTAGCGTTAAATCCACCAGATCATCTGGGGACCCTTGAACTCTGAAGGACAGATTTAAAGAGGCCCTGGGACTGGAATTTTGGGTGTCGTGGGGCTCTTAAACCTATAGATTTGGGGTCCACGACCCTGGGGGGGGGGGGGCTGAGACCTATACTGAAATTTTGGTGAATTTATGGTATCAGCGTTTTGCGGGCCCCGAATGCGGGCGTTTTGCCTCGAACTTCATGGTCTTGCTGCCTCGAATACCTGTGTTTTGATGGGATTCTGAGAGCAAATTTCTTGAGAGCCTCCAAGGTTTAAATTACGGAATTTGAGAGCCAGGATTTTGGGAGTCATGGAGTCCCTAAAACCACAAGACCAGGATTTCAAGGCGTCAAATGCTAGCGAGTTTTATGCATATTAAAAATAATTGAAAATCAACTCCGAGCGTCCGTCATAGAACCTATTCTTGCAGACCAACTTCTGTTGCTACTCGGCGAAAAAAAAAAAAAAAAATCATCGATCGGGTCACTGTTTCTCTGGGAAGAATAGACTCCTGCTCCTTTTGATACCTATATAGTAGATTTTCATGTCATGAAATGACGTATTATGCACGGCATTCCTGATTCGAATGTTATTTAACATGTTATTGTACTCGTCTGAAATGATGGTGGAGAGGGGGTAAATGATTCCTTTGTTAGGGGAAGCATAAATCGCCTCCAATTTAGAGAGTATGCAACCTGCAAATATGAGGGCCCCTTGTACCTGCCAGCACGCCCCCTGAGCACATAATCTGGCCCTGAACAGGCCCGCCACAAGGGGGGGGGGATACTGGGTCCCTGGTACCGGGGCCCCTGTTACCCGTGAAAAACCACTACGAATTCACATGCAACCCTTGTTTCGTAAGAAAAAGTGAAAAATTTACCCTAAAAATTTCGCAAAAGGTGAATAGATTTTCAGAAACACGCTGGGACACTGTAGAATTCTTCTTGAATTTTCAAAGAAGTATACTTTTTGAAAAATTTCTATCTATTTTCAAGATTTTCAGTACAGAGGGATATTTTTAGTAACTGCGTTTTATTTTCTTCCGTCGTCAGATGCTAAGAGTCTCCAGTCTGGGCATCCTCGACTTCAATGGCTCATGGCTCAACGCCCTTGCCATAGAGAAACGAAGGGGGAGTCCAGGGGGGCCTGGCCCCCATAGAACTGAAAATAGTATCATATGCCCCCCCCCCAAAAAAAATGAAAATTTTCCAGATGTTTTGAATGCAACAATTCGCAAGTACTTTGTGCTGAAAGCAGAAAAAAATAACATAATTATTCCGCAGAAATTGATGGAAAAATTCTTTATGAAAGCTTCAAAATGCGTACGATTAGTCGTATAAATTCTAAAATTTCTCGGGGGATGCCCCTCGGCCTCCCCCCCTCCGTGCTTGGGGCCCGGACCTTAAAACTGGTACCAGGGCTCGAAATGGGATGTGGTGAGCATGCATGAAGGCTATTTCCATTTAAATCTTCCGTCACATTCTTACGGCGCAATGATACAACTATTTGAGCTCTCCGGAATGCGTGAGGTATCACGCCGCATTTGAAGGCGTTTTCAAAACAGCCAAGTTCCGATATCTGAATAATCGTTTTGCATAGTTCATAGTATTTTGTTTTCATTTCTAACCCATTTGTTTATTTATAATCCTCCTTTAAAAATTACCCATTTGCACAATACAATTCTAGCTGAGGCGCACTTAAGCGCATTCATGACTGCAAAAATGTTAACGAAAATCGAAAAGGCCAGCGTGCATGAAGGCTATTTCAATTGTAATCTTCCGTCGCATTTCTAAGGCGCAATGATACAACTATTTGAACTCTCCGGAATGTGTGAGGTATCACGCCGCATTGGAAGGCGTTTTCAAATCAGCCGAGTTCCGATACCCGGATTATCGTTCTGCATGGTTCAAATTCTTTTGTTATATTCCGTGCCACTTGTTTATTTTTAATCCTCGTAGAAAAACCACCCATTTGTAAATACAATTCTAGCTGAAGCGCACTTAAGCTATGCATTCACCACTGCAAAAATTTCAGAGGAAATCGACAAGCGCAGCGTGCATGAAGCCCTGAACATGGGCACCTATCAAGCACCTATTACCTATAGCTGCGGGTTTTTGCCAATAATAGTAGGTATTTGCCATATTGAGTCCTCTTTTTCTCACTTCCTCTCATGAATATAATTTCTTTAGGAACAGCTTAAGGCATTTAGAAATTGCGGAGGAACATAATACTCATCAATTTTATTGGTCACATAATTGTTTAAACGCGAGCTGCGCCAGGCCGCGCGCCGCTTCACTGTACTGTGTACTCTATGCTTCACTGTTACAGTCCGCGCCTGGTCCGCGCCGTCCATTCGATTATCCCAACAATCGAATTTCGAGTCTATTTCTATCGACAGCTTTCGGTCTCAAAGCCAAAGCTCAAGTTCAACGCCTCAAAGCTCAAAGTCTGAAAGGGAAGTAGGACAATTCCAGAAATTTTAATTATCACACATTTGAAATCATTCGATCGCCTTGAAAAATATAAAGGCTTTTTCGAGCCATTAAAATTTTTTATCATCTCCGGAATCCGTAATCGCAAGTGAAGAGTTGCAAAACATTACTTTTACGTATCTAAACGTCACGTTGGCGGCCGTTCGCCGAGGAACAAAGAGTTGATTATGCAATCGCGATAAGCAACAAAGTACAAACAGATGACCAAATAACCAAGATGGCGCCTTCACGGAATTGAGGGATATTCGGATCAGCATAACATCGCTTAATTTCTACCGAGACCATCTTTTTGTATTATTTCTGTACCTCAGTGCTTTGTCATGAATTAATTTTGGCTCACAGAATTCAAAATTATTATTTTTTACAGTTTGTCTACGTTTAGTTGGTCCCAAGTGAATAATGTGAGGTTAAGGTGTCATTACTTGTAGGTAAACAAAAATGAATCAATTTAAAATATTAGTAAGTTCCTCGAAGATTTTACAATTCCCGTCTGAATAATTTCAAAATTCTCAAGTTTCCTCTTGACAAGTTGTGTTTTCGTCTTGTAAAGCGTCCTTAGTTTATTTCATGACAAATTTCCAAGGTCTCTTTTGTATTAGCTTTTTATTGGCTTTAATCTGTAAGTGATAAGTATTACTCCAAGAATATGCCTTCAGAATGGGATCTGAATTTCCTACAAGTAAGTTGTACAAGTATTTCATCTCATTTCTCTTAATCTAGTCAATTTTCACCCTTTAAAGGCTTATCACAGGTATTTAAGTAGACAGGACCGTTTCATCCGAAGGTTTTGGTATTCCGCTCAAAGCACTTCAAGTTGGAAGAGCTTATTTATGTTGAGAAATTCTTTAGTGAAAGTCTTTAATTTATTTACACTGATTTTTGAAATTCTGTCCTGCTTAATTAATCCATAATTTGACTGGGGGACATACAGCTAACAATACATGGTAAACTTTAGCTTAAAGTTTTGAGTGCCTCATTCGTCATGAGCGAACGGCTATCCCGTAATCCCCACACTTAGTCTACTAGGAACCTTACATTCTGTACTTATTGTACCAGTTATAAGTTACAGAAACCATTTGATTCCCTTGCCATTCCCACTCTACCAGAGCGCTCAAGCTAAGTTAGGGGCACGTTTGCCTCTGCGTAAAAAGCCTATTGATTTTGGTGAAGTTATTCCGGAATTCTGCCAAAGTGAGACTGATGCAATAATTAACCAGTTGTTTTTGAAGTGTGGAAATGTTAATCTGAAATTTCCAGTGCTCCTCAACTATCATGGAAATATTTCTGCCGTCTCCCTCCCGGACCAGGACATAGTTTCCTAAACTTTGATTCGTTTCCCCCCTTATGTTCATCATTTACATTTTTTCCTGCATTGATTCTCACAGACTTTAAATTAGCAATGTTGCATTGTTTAATTATGTGTATTTTCTCTTTATGTAACTGTCAGGATAACGTAAATATAGTTGAGCTGCCCACAGTGAACGGAAAATGATACAGAAATAAGAATTTACCTTTAAATAGGGTTATTCAATATTGATTTGAAAAAGTCCAGTGCAGGGTCTCCCTCCGAGATAGAATGTTGAGGTGTCACGGTACCCAGACCTGGTAACTTTTTCATCTTTGAGAAGCTGAATTTTCTTTAAAGTACATACTTACTTGGTTAGTAAGAAATTCTATACTGAAGTTATTTTGACAAATATTAAAGATTAACTTATAGAGAAAGGAAAAAAATATAAAAACTTGATTCTACAAGTATATTAGGTATGGCTCCGCCAATTGCCCTTAAGGGTCTTCTGTTCCATAGTTCCTTGAGTTTTTGAAGTTAAGGAATTGCTGTTTTTGAATCCTGAATCTGAAAAGGGGCTCTGCTACAGGCTACAGCTTCTCTCAAAGAGATCTCTTTTTCTTGGTACATGCCCTCAAAATTTGAAACTTTAGAACGGACCTGTTGGAGTTGTGTTCAGGAAAACTTACAGATGTAGCAACTTCATGCTCACCTATTTTTATTTTTCTCCTCACCAATTTTCTCTAAAAAATTTAGTCATCAAAAGATCAATAGTTAAACTTGGAAAAAAAAAATTACCTCATATCTAACAGTCAGCTTTCAAGAGCTCTCAGAAGTTACTCCTTTCATTCATCTTGGATCTTTTCTTATCTTTCAATGTGTGCATATTTCCTGTGTCACTTTTTTTTATCAGTTGTAGCATACAAACTACCGTGATCATTTGCATACTGTCTTGATAATTTGCTGACTCATTATTTGGGTAGGTGGTAGGCAAGCACTTGGCCTTTCCTAATAAGTAAGTAATGGACCTGGATGGGTAGATTTATATTTTATGGACACATAAGGGTATATAGAGCCATGAAGTAAGACGTCTTCAGAAATTAACAGGAATTATTTTTTTTCCAGAACTGTCTCCATCCTTTGAGGATGAGACACCACCGGGAGCTGATGGAAGACAGGAAAGCGTTAGAGCGGCTGATTCTCGATGCTCAATGTGCCATCTTCCAGTCGTGTCAACATATGAAGGTTCATTGTCAGTGGGATCAGCTTGTACTTGTTGCACCCCTCCAATTGCATCCACATCTGCAATCCAACATCCTTCACCCCTTGCCCGCAGACACAAGAAAAAGGCTAGTGAGAAAGCAGGTGGGTCAGGTCACTCGAAACGGCAGCTGTTCAAGGAGGAAATTGCCTCAACCTCCTCTCAGATAACACCTCAGGTAACTTTATCAACTATCCCAGTTGAATCTCATCCTCAAAGTATTTTAGATCAGCCTGGGACATCGCAGCTTCCGTTAATTGACGATAGACCATCAACTAGCAGTGCTGCGTTGTCTGAGTTGCCCCTCTCAAATGTTTGCTCAATATGTCTGAAAAGTTTCACATCACCTGGGAAACTTGCTCAGCATATGTATGCGCATTCTGGTGAGAAACCTTTTGTTTGTGATCATTGTTTCAAAGCGTTCTCTTCTAAATTCAAACTTGTGCGCCATGTCTTAATCCATTCAGACTTGCGTCAGTATCACTGCTCGCACTGTGAAAGAACTTTCCATCGAAAAGATCACCTTAAGAACCATGCAAAGATTCATAGTCCTGTTAAAAGAAGACTCAAGTGTGATAGGGAAGGTTGTGGCAAGGAGTATAGTTCACCGCTAAGCTTCAAGAAACACACTGCTGTTCATGCAGCTGAAGAAGGAAACCTGGAATGCAAGATCTGTAGTCAAGTATTTTCTACCAAAGAAGAAATCGTTTTTCACCTGAAAGTTCATGCTGGCTCCAGGAGTGCTAAAACCCCTGCTGACCGCAAGTATCAGTGCAGTTATTGTGAAAGAAGCTTTTTCACAGCAAAGGATGTCAGAAGGCATCTAGTCGTTCATACTGGTAAAAGAGATTTTTTATGTCAGTTTTGCCCTCAAAGATTTGGGCGTAAGGATCATCTCACAAGACATATTAGGAAAAGTCATTGCAACTCGAGCAAAAGTAAAAAGCACAGGCGAGGTGATAGAGATAGACATAAGCCAGCCGATAGTATTTTAGAGTCATTTTCTGCCTCTCGAGCTCAGAAACTTCCTTCATCATTTAGCCAGCCAACTGCCTCTGCCTCCAATCAAAGTCATGCATTCCTGGAAACAGAAAGTCTCAAAAGCCCGATTCCAAGTACGCGAACATTAGCATCAAGCTTAGAACAGTCAAAAAGTATGCTGGGAACTTTTCCCTCATCTCAAGTGCCAACGTCTGCCTATGAATCTATTCCTTCATCATCTGAAATGATACTTAAGTCAGAAACAGAATTTATTGATATTAATCTAGATCCGGAGTTGTCTTCGGCAGAATCTAGTCGTGTACCCCCAACCAGTGCCGAAAGTTTAGCGATGGAAGAAAACTCATCGCTCTACTCAAGTGTTGAACCATTGTGGCATAAACCTCAGGGTCATTACTCCTCAGAAAATATTCTAAACCAGCCTTCCTCATCTACTATGTTACCTGATCTTGTATATAATCCTCACGCTTCTGCGTATCCCGCGTCCTACGATGAAAACAGTACAAAAATAGAACCTCTTTCTCCATATTCAAGCTCTTTTGAAGCTGTAAGCACTAAGCATGAACCGTCTTCACCTTATTCACCATTCGAATCTTCTGATATCAAAATGGATCCAGAATTTTCATCAAACTCAAACTTGGCTCATTTCATGGACCTTATACCACCTGAAAATATTCACGAGCTTGAAGCTTATCAGTCGCAGCAGCAACACCATCATCATCAGCATCCACAACAGCATTACGACCCATCAAGTATTGAAATGTCTACTTCAGTGCCAAGTGGTGAGCAGCAGTTTTCAGAGGAGGCCACTACTTTACCACGAGACCTCCTTCAGTATCCATTGAATACAGAGCTCATCAACACACTTCTTCAAACAAATCTTCAAGATGATTCATCTGCAACATTACCAACCTTTAACCAAGCTTTCCAGCAGCAACAACAGCAACCACCTTCGTAAACTTTTTGAGTAGACCAGATAGAGGGAGGGGTGTCCATTCCTTTCCTTATCTAAAGTTAAAATTTATCATTCAGAAAGTGTTAAAACACCTCTAGTTTCTTAGGAAACATCTAAAATGAGTTGAATGTGGGTTATCAAATGCCCAAGTGTCCTTAAATGGAACAAATATTGAGTACCAAAAACATATGGAACCTATTTTTTTTTCATTTAAAAGTCAATGAAGTTTGTCGAAAATAAAGATTCTATGGTCAGACTTTGAAACCATGTAGCACTTAAATTTTGAACATCAGTAAGCATAAATGCAAGAACTCATTGGTTTTCATACCTCTAAGTAGTTCTTTTTGCTCTCACGTTCAGAGTTCTAGCAGTGTTACATTTTGTGTCAAAAACAAGTATTAAAGCCAGAATTTTTGCTCACGCTTTCAATCAATTGTATTAAAGGTGCAATGTATGTTCTGATTGCAAAGATCAAAGAAGTCTTTATTTTTATCATCACTACTTCTCATTGTCAGTTAATTCTCCTATTTCAAAAAAGAAATATCCCTTATCCTCTTGTGTATTACTAGAGCCAATGAATGGAAATCCGAAGTGGTTTTATTTAATACAGATAATGAAGCTACAAAAACATGCATCTCAAACTGACATCCTCATTTCTTGTCTTATTTATTTATTTATTATCTCTCTCATCAACCAATCGTAGCTGTTTCACACAATCGTATGATTTCTCTTGAATCTTTCAAGAATGTGCTACATATAAATAATGGATAATACTCTGTTGAAAAGATACAATGAAGAAAGAAGAAATTTCAAAAACACTACAATCATGCTTTTCTAGTTTTAATATTGATGTATGGATGTTGCCTCCTCTCATCTAGTCTACTCTGTCCATGGTTAAACATGTATTCACTGTTCAAATATTTATTTTTTTATGTCTTTTTAAGTCCCAAGATGTTAGGTTTCTATGTATTTTACTAATTATTGTTAAGTAAGACAAGGTTATTCTTGTTGTTTTTATTGTGATTGCTTGATATTCGGCATAGTAATGTAAGTTTATCTTGTACGATTTTGGAAGTTGATTTGTTTGTGTATTCTCACCAACGATTGTAAATAGCGCACCGTCTAACAACAGTTTATACTTATTCTGTAAAATTTGTTATCATCTTTGATTTCATTCAAGGAGTTTCTTGTATCGTCCTCCAAGGATTTACAAATGAAGCTTTCAGTTACCCCTAGGGTCACTGTCTCCAAGTTCAACAATTTTTTGCAGCCATGACTGAAAAATTTTACTGTACCTAATCTTTGTTTTTTTTGCATCATAGATTTTTTTAATTATGAATCAAATTTTTCATCAATATTTTCTGAAGTCTCCCCCTTCTCTCTTCCAAAAAGAGAAAGAGAAAAAAAATTTAATTACTCTTTTCAAAAGAAAAAACCGTACAACTCCAAGGAGAGTTTTTTTTTTTTTTTCAGAAAAAAAATTTCTTGGTATTTTTTTTCAGTGTTTATTAATAAATTCAAATTCTTCATGTAAGAAAATGATTTATTCTCTCAAACGAATATTATGGCTATTAGGACCACGAACACAAATACTTCAAAATTAAGGAAGTTTTCTCGTCACAATCAAACAAGTACCTATTTGTAGTCACTATTTACTGTCATAATATTTTCTTTTCTTCCTCTATACAAAGTGTGCCTAAACACTATAATTTTTTCTACCAAGATGTTGTTGAATTTTTTATTGAGATCTTCCGGTGAGTACAATATTATTTTTCGGAGCAAGTTACAAATTTATGGATCTTTGAATGGTTTTATTTATATTGATTTTCTGTTATTAAAAGTTGTAAACTTCTCTTCCTTTTACCTTGTGACTCTGACTTTGAGTCTTGCTCCAATAAAAGCTATGACACTATGTTTTCAGGATTTTGAAAAATGAAAAAAGCCAATAATGTCGAAGTAATTTGAAATTGGGAGTTTTACTTTGAAGTTAAATTATTTTGTAGGAGCATCAACTCTTGTAATTAAATACAGGTATGAAGAATATTCATTATATGTTATACTATAGAATTAAACATCACATCATAAATTAAAGTGTCTTAGTGCGTTTTTTTTTTATTTTTTGTTTTTAATTTTTAAGTGATTTTAGTGTAATGAGTTTGAAATACCTCATAAATTTTTAAGTACCTAGTTAGTATTCTATGCTTAGAGTATTATATTCTCTTAATCAAAATGTATTCTTCCTTTTTTCATTTTCCCCCTTCCAGGATAAAAAAAGGTTGACTTTATGGAATTTTTTTTTTTTTGTTACATTCAGCATCTGGTTAAATTTGTTAAAAATATAATTAAATCTATTATTTTGAAGTGGTACCATCTACGTGAAAGAGAAGAAAAAATCCCCTTTTAATGTGAAAGGTTGACAGTTGATTATGGTCATGAGAGCCTCAGTCTACCAAAATTTCATCATAGAAAGGCTTAGGGTAAACAAATCAGAATCAAATTACATGAGTGAACGAATAGGTTCAAAGATATAGTCAAGGTACTTCGCTACTTTTTACCATGTTTCTAAAGACAATGGTATTAATTTTATTTAAACTCATTATCAGGAGGTGCTGGTCAGTTATTATTTACATTGAAACACCTTTGTTTCTCCCCATATTTCGAAGTTGCAGGATTCCATCCACATTTACTGGAAGGAATAGGTTACATTCAAACAATGGGGAACTACAGTTGGAAATCATTATTTTTTGTTCATCATTTTAACTTGCTGGATAGTAAGAATTCAGCACTATCACCAGTATCTTCTGGAGAAAAAGAAAAGTGCAAAATGCTTTCCAGCTTGCAAAGTTGTCTATCTGTATCATAACTTTTGATGCTTTCAGTAGCGAGAAAGACAAATTATGGTACCTTCCTTATCTTTTAATCTGTATTCGAGGTGTGCCTCATAGATTCTCAAGCTTTCTGGAGGGAATAGAACATTTTTTGAATCTTTATTTCAAGAACCCTTTTATTTTATAAACTTGAATTGTTTATCCCAACGCTTTTTTTAACCTCTCCACCACAAATCAATAAGAACATTGTGATGCACAATCGTGCTGAAATACATTAATGTGTAATAATTACAAAATTTTGAACTCATAAGACCATGCAAGTTATGCTTGTTTGTCAGTCTAAGTATTGCTTGGCTTCGCTAATGGAGTTATGCTCTCTCTCTCTTTTGCATCATGTAGATTCTTTCTTTTCTTTACTCTCGATATTGATTCTCTCTCCACTTTTTCTCTATCAATGCCATCATTGTGTCGCAGACCTTGTAACTAGTCCTCTCTCTGAACCCTGTGAGTCCATGGACCACATTTTGGGAGCTGCTTGGCGTCTGTGCACTTGATGCTACTTGTATGCAACAATGATTTAAATATGGTTGCTTCTCTGACTTGTCAGATACCATTATTTCCTCCTTTGTTATTGTGTACCTACTGTCATTGCTTTTTCAATTTTTTGTTACCCTCACCATATTCAATACGCTTACTGAATTCCTGTCATTCTGCAGGGAAAATAGTTTTCTCAGGATCAAATAAGGTAATGATAATGATATTATTATGATAATGATAATGATGATGTAAGATAATGATGTGATAATGTAAGATTCTGAGTTACCCCCTGTGGAATCTGCAGCATTCATACTGTACAGGTACTGAATCGTAAATCCCCAACTTTTTTTCTTGTGTAGGATCCTTGTCGAGTTCAGTGGCGAGATGTGCAGGATCGATTATCGATTTTTCCTCATTTGAATTTATAGTAAAGAATCAATCATTAAGGTGTTCGTTTTGAATACCTTTATATCGATCCTTTTCCATAGGTTTAAATGGCAGATCAATTGATATATCGCAAAGCACGCCTCATCACTGGTCCAGTTGTCAGTGGAGTTAATGGCTCCCACCTGAAAAGTGACAGACTAACTCTTTACCAGAGGGTGTGAATAAAATTTTTCCGGTCTCCGGTATTCATTTAAGAATGTAACATCGGTGTTTCAGTTTCAGTGAAAAAAGGAGATTTACATATTGTCTTGTGTTCTGATAAAATATAATACAATGGAGTAGTTACACTTATCTTAGAATCTTGTTTGGATGGTTCAAGCTTATCGATCAGCAGAAAATAATAAATAAATAGTCTGTTCAAACACTAAGTTCTTTTATCTATTATAATTGGAATTGTCGCTTATGAAAAAACTCGGCGTATGACAGCATCCATCACTCATACCATTGTTTCTTCTACTGTGGTGTTTTATGTAAAGCAACCAGTGTAAATGTGTATCACTAATCGATGAAACCAAATTAGAAGAGACCATGGTGGATGGCATCATACACAATGTTTTTGATGAGTCTCTGATTCGATTACTGTTGTACTGATCTCTGTTAACACTGGCGCTTGAAAAGATCTTATTATTTTTTTCTAATCTTTAAGCTTAAATCATCAAAACACGATTCTGTGATTATCGCAAATGACCCATTATCAGCCTTACCTAACGATCTTGTCATGAGCCTTGATAGTATTGCACTCCTCTATAACTAAGGAAACTTTCCGAAGTAAGGATGTCTTTTTCACCTAATGCTGTCTACTCTGTCATTATTCTAAATGAAACTGTTCTTTTTTTTCTTGGAATCATTTCTTTCCTTTGCTTTGGATCACAAGTATTGAAAAATTAATTATTCCTATGTTTGAACTTTGATCAAGAAGAATAAAGTCTAGAGAATACTGGATACATTTCATCCTTTGAAATCAGATCCAAAAAATTATTGAAGTTGGGAATTACTATTGTGTACTCTGTGACTAAATAAGTTTGTATTTAGTAATAAATACGGGTATTTGTGTCTCAGTTTTTGAAAGAAATGTTCAAAAGAAGTAAAATCATACTTTTTATCATTGTGCAATCTTGGGGTAAAAATGAAATCTATCTACCGATTTTAATCCTCTTTGAGTTACAATTCTCAGTCAGTCTCACATTTCTGTTTAATAATATTGCAAATCTTTTGACGCTCTTCCACATGGCAATCCTTAAATTTTGTTTGAAGTATGTCCCTTCATGTTAGAATATAGTATTGTCAAAACGTGATGTCCAAAATTGAAATAATTTTCAATTTGGGGCTGTCTCTTTTCCCAGAATCTTTATATCTTGTGTCCTTTTTGGCTTATTTTTTGGGGGTCAAATTCAAAATTTTGTTTGATTTCCATGCTACATTGATATCAGGATAAATTCATGTACCCATTTTTGCTCATTAATTGTGTGCCTTCAACTTTTCAACTGCCAAAACCCTGCAAAACTATTATGAGGAATCAAGATTTTTTTAAACTGTTCATAAAATTTTGGTTGTATAAGTATTCAATACTTTCAACATTGTTTATCTTTTTGTTGGGTATTGCTGATTGATAAGGGAGAGGGTTAATAAAATGTCAACAACAGCCATCTTGAATAAAGATATTTTTCAATTGTCAGACATTCACCACAGCGTACCCAGGTTTCCGTAGTGGATACAAATTTCACTACATTCAAAAGTTTCATCAATTTAATATTTATCAGAACTGGGCACAGGAACTTGTTCCTCACTAGTTCGTTTGTGAAGCGTACAAATGAATCAATAATGACATTGGTACTCATTTGTTTTTCCAAACTTTTTAATAAAAATGCTTGTACTTTTTTTCTCTTGAAATTATCTTTTAATTCATGTACTACAGTTGTCGGTCAGAATAATTTCACTGCAATTTTTTTTTCCAGTAAAAATTCCTACATGAAATTCATGAAGCTTCATTCCATTCCACTTTATCTAGGTTATGTTAACAAAGTAGTCTAGGTATTTTTTTTTTCCTAAATCAGGTATTTAAAATGACAGTGTCACTTTGACTCCGATGTCCCTGAAATGCATCTTCCCGTCTTACCAAATCATTTCCTTTGCTGCTCATAAGAAATGAAAAATCATTTTCCCTGAGCAGGCTCGATCAAAAATGTCTTTTTTTTCTCTCTTTCTTTCTTTCAAAAAAGAAAAAAAAAAGATCCCACTGTAAATCAAATTAGAATGATCCTACATTTCCGAAACGTGCACTGTCAATGTTAAAATATGATTATGAACCAATCAACATCTTTCTTTCTTAATTGCTTTGCAAAGTGTGAAACACTAGTGTCTGTGCAGTATTTGAATGGACCATCTTTGAAGCTGGCACCAAAGTTCCTGATAGCTAAGGCTACCTCCTGATCTTTTTTTTACATTCTTTTTACCAATTACTATCCCGCTCATTTTTCCTCCTTATGCTTCCTCTCTCTTTTTTCTGCGTTTGTTACCATGTTTTCATTCATGTTTATGCATCAGATGATTCCTTTTTACTTCGCTTTTCCATTTGTTCTTTGAATTTGTACATTTACCCTCAACTCCACCCCCCCTCTCAATCTGTTTTTTGATCATTAATTGTTTTTGGCACCACTTGTTGATAATATGTATGGTGTTTTTCGCAACTGACCTGCTTGCCTTTGTCTGTTTGTATAGCTGTTGCTATGGAATTATAGGTTTAATGTTATGTTTGTTTATTTTTACATCAAGAATGTACATGAAATGCCACAAATTGTCTATTTTCAAATCTGCTCCAATCAAGAAGTTATATTTTTTTAATCGTGTCCGTTTTCTTTTCAACTGTAGCCCTCGAAATCATGAAATTCACTTTAATTCTTCTTCCCCAGTCCTTCCTCTGCATCTTCGTAAGAGTTCTTCTGGGGGGTTCTGGACCCTCTCCTCCTCCCGGTCTTTCAGGCCCCTCATTTGATTTCATTAAATGATAACGTATCCCCCCCCCCCAAAAAAAAAAACTCTGGATCTATCTCTTTCCTTTGGTATGGAGTTTTATACTTCTCAGTGGTTTGTGAGACTCCTCTTGAAAAATTGTATCTGATTATTTTGATATATTTGAGCAATGAAAAACCGAACAAACTGTGAATAAGTTCTTGTTCGGAACAAAACTAAATTATATGATGTTCAAGAAAGTGGCACTGAGCAAGAGAAAAAGTTCTCGTGGGACAGAATATAAGTTTTGAAAAGACTATATGGCGTTGAAAAGAGCCTGAATGAAAACAGATTTCTTAATAAAATTGTTAAGGAAATCTACTCCGCAATAGTTATTTTGTTTTAGAGACTCGCCAAATTCATCAGGAAAAAGAAATACATTTTTTCAATTTTCAACCCTTTTCACTTCTTTTTTTCACCCTCACTCACCGTTCTTTTCTGTGAAACTTCTGATCTTTCAGTTTTTTTGAAGTGAGAATGTTGATCAGAATGCCAGAATGCAACTGGTCTCTTCTTTCATTTTTAATCATTTTCCAACAATAATGTTACGAAGAATGTATTTTTTGGGGCGTTAATGTATTCTGTAAGTTTGTAATAATGTTGTTGTTATTAACGATTTAAGTTATAATTCTTTTCTTTCTTTCTTTTTTTCTTTTTTTTCTTAACAAAAATCAGGGAAATACCTATCTCATGAACAATGTCTGAGATACTTCAGTAATTTGAATTACCAGAGTGTTTCTTCCGGGACTGTTGTTTTTTTTTTCTGTTTTTTACTTATTTTATCATTTCCAGCCCTGTTAAACATTACAATACAATACTGTAATGCTTTCATAGTGTAAAATCAAATTAAAGCTTGGGAAAAGAGATTCTTTCTTTCAAATATATTACCTGTAAAAAATTTTAAAAAGAAAAGAGAAAGATTATTGTTTCTGAATTCAAAGAAGGAGCACCATATTATCTCTTAATTACTGAGTTGTGTTGCAAATTAGAAGGTACTCGTTGATCTTAATTCTCTAATTGTACAGAATTTCATCAAAATTTCTTTAAATTAATTGTAAATAGCGTTTGCAACACCACAAGTGCCATCATTTTTATTTTTACATTTTTGATCAATGTAACATGTTTATTTGTTAATTTTACCTCAGTTAATTAGTAAGAAAATACGCTTTCCAAATTTTTCTACTGTTGTATTTTGTTGGTATTATTGTTTGGTGCCTCTTTGTGAATGGTAGCAAGTCCATTAATGTGTGAGTTTTTGGTAGGCAAATAGAGTGTGGTCAGAAGCCTTCTACGTACTCTTATACTATTCGTCGTGCAAGCTATTTCCAACGGCTGTTTTACTTTATCTGAGACAAAACTATGTATCTGAAAAATCTCTTCTATCGATCTGCTTAAACACGTATTTACAATGATGTTTTTGCAGTTGGCTGCAGGCCAATTTTTTTTAATTTTCTTTTCTTTTCTTCTTCACAAGGTTTGGATTGACCCCCTTTTTTATGCAGAATTCATTTTTTTTTACTTTGAGAACGTTGTATTCAGACATGTGTAATGTGAAGATAATTAACCATGTAAACACTGATCATTTCCTTAGAATGGAAATGAGAGAGAGCAGCTGTATTAGCTGTTCAGTTTAAAGTTCCTTAAGACAGTGTGACAGTAAAATAAAGGCCTTGCTAGAGAAAGAGCTTATTTAAGTCAGTGTGTTACGCTCGTGCAATCGCGTTCGTTGACAGAAAGATACACAAAAAAAGATACAAAATCTAATCTTTTCACTCTTACATGTTAGAAGAAGATATTTAGACTTGCTTTTGTTTTGGAAGAAAAAAATATTTTATTCACCCATGAGAATTCTACCAATCGTATTTTTCATCTTCTTAATAATAACAATGTAGTCGATGTATTGTCATCAGTATGCAAGGTATCAATTCATTAAGTTTTTGGTTCACAATGTAGCACAAACGTTACATCTATTCAGTATCTTACCCACTAAAATGACAAAGGATCTTGAATCTTGGCAAGTTTTTTTACAAAAAAGTCACCTTGATTTTTTTTTGCTTTTTTGACCTCTGGCATACTGATTATGATAGGTCTCCAATTTTTTTTTATTCTTTTAAAGGCAAAATTCACATTTTGAAAGAACACAAAAGATAATAAGAATCAATTCAAACCCCAATTTCGTCAAATGGCCCATGAGATCACGAGAGTATTTCTTTAAGTTTGGTAGAAGGCTTCATGATCACATTGCTTTAAAAAGCACTCACAAATGCTAGTTATTATGTGTCATATTGTTCATTCATAATCGATTACAATCCTCTTGATACCTGTAATTTTCAATCAAATTTTATTTCAAAGCCTAGGTGATAAAATATGTAATGTTTTCTAAAGTTCCTTATAATTTAGGTAAGAAGCTAAGTTTTAACAGAATTTTTACTACCTGTTTCATTTTTACTTTTTTAACTGGCACTCTAAGTGATTAAAAATACCCTCTTCTGGTATTGCTTTTTAATTTTTTATTATAAATCCCCACCCCTTCCATACGCAGCAAATTTCCATAACCTGAGCAATCGAGCGCACATTCTGCTCTCATTTTCAAAGGGCTTGTATTTTTTTAGTGGATGAATCAAATTTTTTTTTCTGGATTTCTTCCTTTTGCACTTCATATTTTCTGTCAAGTCTAGCTTAATTTTCGGTATTGTTAGGGTCCTGAAATTGCCGGACTTATTCCAAAGAATGCTGTCCCAAGTATGGGTCTCTAGGCAAAGTTTGATATGAAGCACGATGCAGCTCTTTTTCTCTTTAAAATTTTACCAGGAAAACGAATCACACGATAGGAAGTCTAGAATAGACTAGAAATAGGGTAATCAACTCCGACACAAGACATAATCGTTCACAATTAACATTGGTTAAATGGCAAAAATACCCAAGATGTTATTTGCATAATCTAACTTTCATTTGATCTGAGTTGAAAATATTTGTCAATATCTCGTCCAGGAAGTGATTTCTTAACTTCTTGTCTTGTGAATCGTTTTCTACGTTGAAGAGGAAGCAAGTGACTTCTTCTATTTTATTCATTGTCTAGTGGCCCATCATGAAAACAAGTTGCTAATGCAGTCCCCTTTTGCCCCCTCCCTCCAACCTGATGTAAAGTTCGACCATGTTTGCTTCACAATTTTACCACCAAACCCTCCATGTAGGAAAATCAAACATTGCTTAACATGCAAAAAATCTATTCTTTTCAAAAAACACTCAAATGCTCTCCAGTGCCTTGGTGTGTATGCTTTTCAATTTCACTGCAGTTAATCTTTGCCTGTAGTTTTTGATGCTGAATGCTAAAAATTTACTCATCAATGAAGCAGTCAATGCAAGACAACATGCAAGTCATTTAGTGGGTACTTCAGAAATAAAACCTCGCCCCAGAATCAACCTTTTAAATGAACCTGGCAACTTTGATTTATGTGGAGAGTCTAACAGGCAACTTGCAAGGCAAAGATCATTACATTAATTAATTTATTCATTCAGCATGTTTAATTTATTTTACTATCTATCCTAGAATTTAATTCATTATTATCATTTTTATTTATTAATTTTTTGTCAATTAAAATGTAAAACACTTACTATTATTTTTCCCTCTCTTCAAAAGGAACAACAACAAAAAAAAACAGTTGGTCCCAAGATTTTAAGACGGTGTTTGGTAATTAAGAGCTTGATATCCTTAAGCAATATTTCCATTTAAACTTTGGTTCTCCTTTCCTCGGTGTATTTATTTAAAAATCATTTCTTCACTTTTACTTGAAATTTTCTGAATACTTCCTCTTTGAACTTTTTTCTCTAATAATTGTTTATTATTTATTTTATTTTCTTATTTTTTTCATTCCTCTTAAGTTTTTTTCTTTTAAGTTTACTCTTTATATTGCTTGCTCTACTTTCTTTGTTAAATGTTAACCTTTAGGCCCTAGATTCATTATTTTAATTAAAGCGAATCCTCTTTTATTTGTTTGTCTTTTTTGTTGGTATGTGAACAGGAAAAGTAATGTTTGGATTTTGAAGTCACTTTAATTATTAAATTCTAAGCATTAGTTCATTACTTGATAATAAGCAAGCTTGGCTGTGATATTAGATTAGGATTTTACTTTTATTTTTACAATCTCTGTTTTTTACTCTAAATTGTAAAAAGATAATGTACTCCAGTGTAAGTTAACCAATGTAAAACTAATACAGTAAAGCAGAGAAATGTGTATTTTTGTGTTTACAAATTATCGTTGAGTTTAATATTGTAAAATATGTATTTTATCTATTTTGAATACCTTTCGAGTCTTACAATTATCAAAAAAATACTTCTGTATGCTCTGCGTTGTTACAGATTACAATCACTGTATCTTTCTTTGATAATTGTTACTTTATCATTTACTTTTTATTTGTGTTGTTTAATAAAATTGTATTTTACCTTTACATCACAAAATGTTTGTGTCCTTCAATTCCTCAACCTCATCGTTGTACCTTAGCAACCTGTTTACCGCTACTGAGAGATAATTTCATTCATTTCATTAATTACCACTTGACAAAAGCTTTCTCTTTCTAAGGAAAAAATATAGCCNAAAAAAAAAAAAAACAGGAAAAGATAAGAAATAGCATTTTCATTTTTTTAGTGCCTCAAAACTTTTTATTTTAAGAAGCATTTTTGTTTGAATTATTTACTCACAAGTGTTTTTCTGTTCAAAAAATGACATTTTAATTTATATAATATCAACGGTGAAACTTAAAAATTGCGCATCTCAGTCTCAGTGTTTCAAAATTTCCGCTCCTATTTTATTTGTTAAAAGGAGACAAAACCTACATCATGGCCTGAAATTTTCACAGAACAATCTTTTTGTAGAGAAGAGAAGCGCTGAAGTTTCCAAGAAATGATGTTTTGTAGGTTTTGATTGAGAAAATAAAGTATGATAGGAAGATTGCAACACGTAGCTCTGCAGTTTCACTGCTGACATTTAATGAGCACTCAGTATCAAAAATGAATCAATTTCATTGCATCTAATCATGAGTCAAAAAAACACGTTGTATCTTGCGCCATGTAAGGGAGCATGAATTCTCAGTGGGAAAGTACGTGACTGATTCACATCTCGGTTTCATACTTACTTGAAATCAACCAAAAATGAAACTGCTGTCTATGTACTTAAACCAAAGCGACCAAAGTTTCATAATATCTTTAAAAACTTTTACTTTCGTTGAAAAAATATTATTTTCATGACTTAAAACATGGTGCAATACTTTCTACAACTTACTGTTACCTGTATCTTTGCCTTACGGTAAATTCGTGATCATTCCCTCAACTCTCAGGTTTTCTGAAGCTTCAAAAATCAGGACCGGATTAAGGGGGTGGCCACATGGGCCGAGGCCCATGGCGGCAAATCTAGGGGGCGGAAAATTTTGCAATTTTTTTAAATGTAGGTATAAAAAAAAAATCGGATTTAGAGATAAAAAAATAACAAACGAGAAAAGGCTACAAAATCTCTCATTTCCTGAGAGTATAGTAATTTCTAATTTTGTCGTCTTTCAGTGATACAAGAGACAGCACCTTTAATTAGTCGAGTTAAGAGAGAAACCAAACACACAATTTGGCCTGGAACGGCGCGACTTGGGGAGAAATGATGACGAGGACTTGAGATGAAAAGGAGAAGCCCTCGGCGCGGCAATCGGCATGTAACACATGTTAGCGCCCACAAGACTGCACGAATACTTCACGCATTGCATCAAACACAGTGCGGTTATTGTGGTCAGCGTGAAACGGATAGCGCCTACAAGAATGCATGAATACTTCACGCATTTGCACCAAACACGGTGCGGTCGGCGCGGCGCGGCGGCGGAAGTTAAAATCATTAAACCAAATCTTGTGTTTGTCTCTTATATAAAGTTTTACGATTTACCCCGCGACCCTCTGAACATCGGTCCCCGCCACGCCGTCCCAGCGCGTCCCGCGCCCTTGATGTTCGTTCGGCGGACCCCTCGCGGCCGGGTCTCCGTTCTCCCCGCGGGTTTTCCCGTTCCCACCCCCAGGGGGGTTGCTACGGGCCCCGAGGGTGGTTCCGTTTTTCGCCCGTCCCTCGGCCTGGCGCGCGTCTTTCCGGTCGCGCTTCGACGTGCGGTCGCGTCCCGGCTATCGGCTCCTTGTCCCTCCGGCCGTTTCGTTATTTTGCGCTTCCGGGGGGCGCGGTGCCCCTCGGACCGTTCCGTCGGCCGATTCCTTGTAACGGTCACTTCGTACCTCCCCGTTCGTCCCCCGGGCTCGGGGTTCCGTCTGCGGACGGGTCCTACTGTGCCGACGTCCGATAAGGTCGGATTTCGGATCCGGCGACCCGGGAGGGGCGCTGGGGCCCCGCGACCGTTTTCGGAAAAACCGCCACCGCTCCCGTCACGTTCGGCCCGCGGCCTGGGGTTTCGGTCAGCGGGGGCCCCCGGCCGGCCGGCGTCCCGTCCCCGCTGAATTTTTGACCCCGAACTCCCGGAGTGGGCGCGGTGCCCCTCGGACCGTTTCGTCGGTCAATTCCTTGTAACGGTCACTTCGTACCTCCCCGTTCGTCCCCCGGGCTCGTGGTTCCGTCGGCGGATGGGTCCTACGGTGCCGACGTCCGATAAGGGCGGGTATCGTGATCCGGCGATCCGGGGAGGCGCTGGTGCCCTTCGAACGTTTCTGGGAAATTCGTTTCTGCGCCCTCCTCGTTGGTCGATCGGGGCCGCGTTTTTGCCGTGCCCTTCATTCGTTGCGCGTTCGGCGTTCGGCGGAGCTGGCCTTCGNGGGGGGGGGGGGGGGGCGCGCCACGAGTCCCTCCGCGTAGGCGTCGCGGCTACTCTGATGGTCTACTCTGAAACGACGACCGGAGCTCGGTCGCCCTTTTGTTGTATACGGAACGAGCGTTTCTACGGCTACCGTCTCGATTGTTCGAGTGTTGCGGTGTTGCCGGATCTTTCTCAGCGGTCGGAGAGTTCTGTTCGTGTACATCGTGTGGAAACGGGAAATTCCGCAACTGCTCACATATGTTTTTTTTGTCATTTTATTTTTACGTTATTCATATGAAATTTCAATCCTGCGAATTTCCATCGCCAACTGTTTGGTGCTCAGTCGGGAACATCGAGGTTTCCTTTCTGCAGACTCGCCGCACTCCCCACGCGCCAAAGGATTTTCTGTCAACCCTAGCCTTTCGTGCAAAGCAGGAATCTTTTTAACTCAAACCAACTTTAACGCCCTTATTTTAAAAAAGAAAATCGATTATATTGTCACACCCCGCCAAGAAATTCATTGTTGAACAATTTCTGGCAAATTCTCATGGAATATTCACGTTAATGTTTAGGGCCAATGCGGGCGGGACCCCTAAAAATTCGATTTTAAAGTTGACATTTTGCATAGGGCTTTTCAATGGTCTATAAAGTGATTTCAAACCGGAGGGCACCAATTTTCTAAATTCGTTTTTTGATACCTATTTGTTTTGTATGAAGCTGATTCGTCTAAATTTGAAGATTTCCGAATAGTATCTCAAGATGATGTCGAAGCCATTCACATATTCGGTAGGGATGGATTTGTATGTGAATGTTTCTAATGTGATCATTCTTTTTTTATATATATGTTTTTTTCCTTTTGGAATTGCTCGGATTCCGGACGGAAATTTTTCCTAGCAGTATGGCAATGAAAACGTCCTTACGTCATTGCCGTACTTCTCTGCTTTAACATGATTTTTTGGAGTAACTATTTCTACGAATCACCTTAACTAAATAAAGTGCCAACATTTTCAACTATCAAACTATCAACTATCAAATTTCAAACCATCAAATTTCAAACTATCAAAATTTCCAAAAATGACAAAAATGATTATAATATACCTATAATGTAATACTCGCTCTAATCATTTAATTTGTATTACCTTTATGTTATGTACCTACATGTTATACTATTTTTGTAATACATTTTGCCAACATGCTTTTCAATTCATTCTGCAAAATTTCATTCCCACGTGGTAATAATGATTTATAATGCCTATAATCCATTATAATGCATTATAATAGTAATGCCGCATTATAATGTCGTATAATACATCGCAACGATTCATGTCCTACTGATTATTGATTATTGTGAGATGAATTCTGTTTTCTCTGATTGTATGTTTCATACGTGCGAAGCACGTACGGGTCGCTAGTTCTTTCATAATTTTTTCGTTCATTTCTTATGAATAGAAGGCCTTGTCCATCAGAGATAGGTATACGAAACTTGACTTTCGCGCAAAGTTCTGTGACCTTTTGCTAGTAGTGTTGACAGGGCTTTCCCAAAAAATGTGTTCAACACGAGTAAACGCGTCTTATGCACCCCTCCCCCGATGGCACGTTCACTTGATGGTTTTTATTGATGTTTCAAAACGAATGAGAAGATGGCACGTTCACTTGATGGTTTTTATTGATGTTTCAAAACGAATGAGAAGGGGCCGGCAAAATACAGGCGGCCCATGGGCGGCAAGTAGGAAAATCCGGCCCTGGCAAAAATGATTGATTTTTTCATTATACGAGAAGACCTTAAAGTTCAGGGAACATCTACACTCTTCTTGTAGGTGACTTAAACTGACTGGAGTTGACTGGTTACAACACTGCGGGTTTTCATTAAGTTGGTCAGTCAGGATGCTTGAGCATCGTACCTACATGAATCAACATACGTTTACCTATCCTCCATGACCAATTTTTCATTGCTCCTTTCTTCCCTCAGAGCCCCAGCAGCCCCTCAAATTCCTGAAAAACCAATCAATTTATCTCATTCTTTTCTGCCCACCATTTTACTTTTAAGTATATGGAACATTTTAAGATCATTTAATTCACTCATTCATCCCATTTCTTGGCTTAATTTGAAATTAGGTTCCCAACACTTTCTGGGGCGAAGGGGGGTTGTTCTCATTGTAATGGAACAAAACTGGAGACATCATTCATGATGTCTCCAGTTTTTAGGACTTTTCTTGACAACACATCACCTAAAGCTTCATCAAGTCTAATAACACTTTACACCACCCAGGTAGCAAGGTCTGCTATAAAATAATTTTTATTATATCTTCGAAATAACAGTTTTATTGCTATTAAATGAGAGTTTTAATTCCTATTAATATATTATAAAAAAACAATTTATATCGGTTGAAAAGATCGATTAAAGTACTCCCCAGTTACAACAGTTTCAGGCGCTATATTCCTATTTTATGAAGTTAAAAATAACAGTTTAAAATAATTTAATGACATAAATCAACAATGATTAAAGTAGTGAAAAACAAATTTCATTTGGAAAATTTACTGGTGTAAAGCGACACTTGTCTTAAAATAAAAATAAAAAATTTAAATGTTGAATACGAGTTTTGAATTATTCTTGTAAAGTATTAAAAAAAACTTAAAATATCCATAGAAAAACTAATTTCTAATAATAGAACGACTCGTAAAATTGTAGTTTTATTGAAAATTAACAGTGTCAATATATGAAATTTTATTCGTTTTTAATATTTTGTTAAACTGTTATTTTTTGGTTTTAAAAGATCAATTATAGAACTCCCCAGTTTCAGGCCTCATATTTCTATTTTGAACACCGATGACGGTGAGCACCGATACTTCCTCTAAGGAGGAGCAACAAAGACTATGCAGCAGGGATGTGACTACACTCGACACACCACACTACAATCAACGCTATAGATAGGCCCATGCCCTGTCTAGGCACAGTTAACCACAGGGGGGTCATCAAAAATGTGAGAAGAAAATCCACTCATATGCACCGAACAAAGCAAACATAGAAGCCGTCGATAAAAAAACGTATGTCGTAGAATATAAATAATATATTTTATGTTTTCACTACACACAAAGGTTAGACAGGCACCATAAACGACCCATCCAAAAACAAAATAAATCGGAGCTCTCTATCGGAAATAAAAGGAAACACCCCGATTACAATAAAACAATCGGAAATTAAAATCGGTATTTAAAAAAATAATGTAATACTAATTTATATTTCACAACTGTTTAAAATAAAATGTTTTGCAGAAAAACTGCAATAAATCAGATATTTAAACTGTCATTTTATCACTATCACTTGTATCTTTTTATCGATTTAAATTATATTTTCCTTGTTAGTGATAAATAGTTATCAAAGTTTTTTATAAGGATTCTTTTTCGACAAAAATTAAAGCTACACCGGTTTTCAGGAAACAATGATTTAAAAATAGTTTCTCACCAATATTGTTTAATAAATAATGTAATAATAATTAATATTTCATGGTTATTTATAAGAATGTGTTTTGCAAAAATATGGCAACAAATGAGATATTTAAATTTGTTTTTTATTGTCTTTTTTTTATCTTTTTATTGATTTAGATTAAATTTTTCTCATTAGTACAGTATAATACTTTATGTTTTGTAAAATAGCTTTTTTAAAACAAAATGGTCTACTTCTGTGTTTTATGAAATCAACTTTAAAAAAAATAAATTAGAATAATTTTTTTAACTTTTTTTAGTTATTAAAATGTTAATCTACTTTCCTTTCTTTAAAAAAGTTTTGTTAAGTAAGTGATTTTGATTGAGAATTTTAAACCGTCGTTTTATTTCAAATCTAAGTATGTTTTTATTGCAATAATAGTTTCCTTTTCGATCGGTGTATAACACTAGTTAAATTTGTGTTATATTTTCAGAAAACATGACTAAATTATAAATTTTCCACTGGTATTTTTTAAGTATGTAAGAAAAATTTTTCAGTGATTATAGTCGCAAAGGACTTCTCTTTTCCGTTGGTTTTTCAACTGTTGTACTAGAGCAAATTTTTCGATGAAAAAGTGCACAAAAGTAACAGTGTAAAAACTGTTGTGAAATTGCAATTTGGAACTGTTACTATTGCTACCTGGGCATGTTCAAAAGATCAATAAATACATAAACTGCTGTGGTTTTTCAATTTTGTTTGCAACCAATAGGTTACTTCATATATACCTCCAAATTTACGAACATGAAAAAAAATCAGCGTTAAGTACGTAGGCACTGATTATTATTTCTGATTAATTGGTCAGTACCTATGTACTTCATTTTATCTTAAATCTTGTAACCGATCGTTTACATTGAAAAAAAGGATGAGAACCGTAGATAGGTATAGTAGTTTTCACGATGATTCGTCTACCTAGTTATCTAAGGTTTTTACTCAATTCTACAAAACGGATGGTGCTAAAGAAAAAAGGAGAAAAAATTTTATTCTCTGCAGGGTTTTTTTTGCCNGGGGGGGGGGGGTGCCTCATACAAGGCAGATAATCATTCCACAAAATTTTGCTGTAAATTCAAAACTCTTTGCCCGTCTCGCCGCGCCCTACAGTAGAACGAGCTAATAGAAGAGGTCGGGCATGAAATTTTTGACTAAAGTGTCAAATTTTGATGTCTATTTTGTCACTAGTGCAATTACTAAGGATGTCTCTGAAAGGATTTTTTTTACGAAAAAACCAATGGAACCACTCCTAAACTTCTTTGTTCCATATTTTTGAAAATATAAGCTTTCTAAGTTTCCAGATTTTATCGACTTCTCCCATTGACTCGATCCATTGCAATACCATCCATTGTGACCACTAAGGCTGTACAGGCGATGCGTGTAAGTATGTTTTATATGCATGCGTTTTACAATGAAAATAAAATTCAGCTCATTTAAACGGTAATTTTTCTAGTTGGCGGTAGATGTTTAGTTGATTCATCATCCGGTGTAATGGAAAAATGCATACGAATGGAACGTTGTCGCTCTCGAGACAGCGGCTTATCGTTTCATAACCCGTATTTTTGAATTTGGCGCGCATTATTATTCACAGTGTTGACAACGGTGCCATTTGTCGTCTTGCTGCAGGAAGGCAACGTTTTCTAGAAACTTGTCTCAAAGAGACCTGTGAATTGGTTGCGCTACAGCTATTTTGACAACTATTGATTACTCAGAATTTAATTACAGCCGCAATTAACTGTCGTTCAAATTCATGATGTGTTTGTGCTAGGTGGTACAATTTAATTTACTACAGTAGCGCCCATTCATTTTAACGGAAAAGTATCGAACTACTACTGCTAACTCTGCATTGGTCATTGGTCTCCCTCCGTCCTCCCTCCCTCCCGATTGTTATTTTCTGTCCTCCTTCAACGTAAGCTCCTGACAGCACAAATGGCTGCCATCAAGAATGTTGATAAGTTCTGGATTTTGTAAATAATTTCCGATCGAAGTTAATTCTAAGTGCTTCACAACATAGTTTTTTGTGTACATAGTTATTTGTGTGGTTTTCAATCGGAAAATGTTTATCCAGGAGCCTGTACAGGTACGTACATATTGCTGAGCAACGTTAACCTCTTGATCAATCAATTCATTTCCACTTACCTATGGTTCAAGTCGCCAAAGGTTTACTCTCATTACAATAGGTTTCAGTATTCATCGCCCCAATTATTTTCTCAACATAAAATTCCCCACGTATCCCACTTCTGAATCTATTCCCCGTTGTCTTATGTTGTTTGCCTCTGCGTGACTTTTCCATTCAGCCAGCCTATGTGCTAGTTTCAACTTTCACCAAATTCGACCGATTTTCCTCTGTCAAGTTTTCCACACAGTTCTAAGTCCATGAGTAAAATAATATTCAAACTGATTATCTCATCTTCCCAGTGGATTCAAAGTTCTTATGCAATACATCTTTTCATTGAGTGTAGATCGCAGATCTAGGTTATTCTAGACGGCGGAATTGTCTTCAGTCACTCACCTCAGTTTAGGACCCTTTCCTATTTGTTTCCTTGGGTTTCTTGTTGATTATTTCAACATTAAATTTTTTCTTCTTTCATTCTCACAGCATACACTTTGTATGTACTCAACAATGGTTAATCCGTTCACTTCATTATCTCTGGGCATAATTGATCTTGAGATTGTCAACAAACTTTGCCCTGTTACTGTTATGGTATTAAATTTCATCAGAGATATGCCTCTCCCAATGATTAATCCTTTGGTTTCTAGACTTACTCTCTGATTTTCAGCAAACGGCATGTAATACAGATCGGTCCCCTTTGGTAGTTAACTCTATCTATTTTAATAATTGATTATACTATCATACTTTTTCATTTAATTGACAGTCTTTAACTCAGTTGGCACCTTTGTCATCACAGGAGTTTGCTAACATCAATAATTCAATCTTGAAGTGGTTTTGGTTTACAATCTCTTTTCCAGAGAGAAAATGTCTTTATCCAGAAATTCGCACAATTCTCTCCATTTAGTCTAAAATTGCAGTTTCCTCTTCATGAATCATAAATAGATCTGCTTTTTATTCCTTAAATGAGATACCTGATGTCTGACTGAAAGAATGACTGGTGCTATCTCTTGTGTGTGAAAGTTTGTGCTGTTTAAGTTCGCTTACATCTCTAATGACTTGCCGGTTCACATAATATCTAACATTTTTACTAAAAGCTCAATGATCTTCAGATGCAATTTGAAGTACCATTGAGTTGTTCCTAGCAATCTTCTTAGCAATTATTTGAAAGGTTAGCCAAATGTAATGAGTTGGTATGAATATTTTATTTTGTTATCAGGTTTTAGCTCTGTTTCCAATTGGTAGGCACCACCTCTCTGTGCGGAGGGTTTTAAAATCAGCAAAAATTTGATAAGATTCCAAGATCAGATGCTGTCTGCTAATAAGAATTATCCCGATCGTCACTTTACCTTTAAAAGATATCCTTTTTTCTCTTTATTTTTCTGTAAATTCCCTCTACAAGAAGTTTCTCTTTCACCCGGAACTATGATTATTACTGTCGAAGAAATTCACATTTCTCCTTTGGTTTTGAACAAAGTGAAGTTTACTCAGTAATTTATCTTATTCATGTACGTAAGTCAGGTTGATTTTCTCAAGAGCTGTCAATACCTTGAGAATTTACAGAATACTAATGCAGTGAATGCAGTATCACACATGAGTGGAAACACTCATCGACGGTGAAACTACCAAACCACGTATCTCGTTTGCGGTGTTTAAAAATCTACGCTCACATTTTATTTTTTTGAAGTAGACCAAATCAATATCATTCCTTGAAATTTTCACAGAATTTTCTCCGCACGAAGAGGAAAAATCACAGAAATGTTTAAAACTGGACGTTCAGTAGTTTTTCATTTAAAAAATAAAGTATGACAGGAAGTCTGCGACGTCGCAAACCAAGATACGTGGTTTGGTAGTTTCACCGTCGTTATCTTTTGGAAGCACAGGGTTTTTAACAAATGATGTTTGATCTAGTTACTGCAAAATCTTAAGTAAGTTTGTCCTCTGAGCTCTGAGGCATACTAATGAAAAATTATTAGGTACCTCACAGACTTACAAACAGCTCTTTTTTAACTGAATAGTTTTATTTTTACTCGAGGTCTTTGGACTGATCAATGCATTATTCTGCATGCTTGTCTCATATATTTGTAAACACTTCATCTTCTCTTTTTCAGGCTGCCATATGGCATTGTTTGAATCACTACGATTATGCAGATGCTATTTTCCTTGCAGAAAGGCTCAGGGCTGAAGGTACTGTTCAATTGACTCATTTTTCTCTTTGATACAACACTTAAAATTTATTATACAGCGGATGATGGAATGTGAGATCGGCGCAAAATTCAACCCAATCTTTTCAAAAATTTTTTGTACCAAAAAGCTGAAAAAGGTTGCCTCATCCAAACGTTTGGAAAATCCACTCAAATATGAAGAATAACCAGGTCAATGTTTGTGTGATCTAAGTCAATTTAGATCTCCTGCTTGCAAGAAAAATCTGTTAAAGAATGAAAAATTAGCCTTACATAAGGTATTGATGTGCACTGAATTTCATCCATGCCAGTTTACATTTTCTGAGCCGTTTTATCTGGTTTTTTTTTTCATTTCTCCTACTTACATTTTGTCTTAAAATGGCTAGTGCTTATTTACTTACCAATATCAATGTTTTTGGGAAAACAAATGATCTCTAGATTGCAGGATCATAGGAATTATGAGGCAATTTTAAAATATGATGATCTTTTTTGTAAATATGTGCACTGCACAACAAAGCATACAATGCTCCTTTTGTATGCTGCTCAAGGTTTATGTGACCAGCGTCCTCAGGCAGATTCCATTTAAGCCAATGGTGTTGAAACGAGCAGAATACCATCTCTTGAGCAGTTTACCATTTTCTAAACAAATCCTGTAATTTGGAAGTATTCATTTCTTACCAGAACATTTTATTTAAAGTAACACAAAGTAGTACATATTTGAGATGAATGTCATCTAAACATATCAAGAATATCCACTTTCCAAGCTATTATTATTTTTATTTTTCTGTTTTTAGTTGATTCGGATGAAACGCTTTTCCTCCTCGCAACTTGTTACTATCGTTCTGGGAAGCCAAGTCAAGCTTATACAATACTCCAGTCAAAAGGAAGCAAATCTGCGCAATGCAAATTCCTCCTTGCGAAATGTTGCCTAGATCTGCACAAGTAAGCACCCAATCTTATTTTTCTTCAGGAAAGAAGAGGCGCAAAGGGTATGAACAAATTTCCCATGAGAATTTATGTGGAGTCCTGAATTAAGACATCCAAATTTTCTCAATTAGTCATCCAAAGAAAGAGCTTCTATTATTTAAATGTACTGCTCTAAAAGAAATATAATTTTTTGGGTGAAGTTTTTTGCCTCTCCAAATGTGACTTGCAATCCTCTGTCCTCCGAATCCCTGCCACAAGAAAAACAGCAGATGGTTGGGATGGCTGCTCCAAAGCATTTTATTCTTTGAAACAATGTTAAATTGTTTGTTTATAATAAGATCATAAAAAGACTGAAATAACTGGTACTCTCGTCTATTTACAAAGGGATAGGTAATGTATCTGGATACAGCATCTAGGATGTAAAAAAGAATAATATAGATGAGAAAATACTTGTAAGAATTACTTAATGACAATTTTCCTGTTAAATTCCTTAGATGTTGAAAAATAAGAAATAGACCTGTAATCATTAGTATTCAGTTGTTGATGTAGTAGGTATATGATAAGTGGCAATATGTGAAGTTTTAGCTTAAAATTCTATCAAGGAAATTGTATGCGAATTGAATTTGCTAACAATGTGACAACCACATAAAAAAAATTTATCTGTTCTGTGAAATAGCTGGTTGCTTCTCTGTCACAATTTTTTTAAAGTATCTAGGTAGTATGGGTAAAAACGATGGAACTACCTCCTTCAAAAGTTGCTGTATCCATCCCATTTATTTTGAAAAAATGGAAGAATGGGACTTGCCACTCTGGATTCTTAATGTTACATTGAACTTTAGGCCATGATCAACCAGTCAAGATGTTCTGGAGGCACGCGCAGAACTTCTGAGGCCGACACTGAAAAACTAATGCCTGTCTCATTAGTTAATTAATGTCAGCTGAGCGTAAGCTGAAGGCAACTGCCAAACCTCAGGTTAAAAAGTTTTATGACCCTATCACTGGAGTTTTTTCAACAACGTTACCCTCCTTTTTTGCACTTTTTTCAATATAATGTGTAAATACATTTACATAAATGGCTTGCAGAAAAATCTATTGTAAGGAATTGAAATTGTAATGAGTTTGAAATATGTTTCCAGATTTTCAGAGGCCGAATCCATTCTTACCGGAGGTGATGTAATTAAATCACGGAACCTTGAAGAGGTAACCAATGAGTTCGGAGAACATGCTGCGTTTGCATTGCAACTAATCGCCAAGATCTGCTATCAAACAGAGAGGTCTGTGCGGGCAGCAGAAGCCTGCCGACGGGCACTGAAATTAAATCCATTTCTATGGAGTGTCTTCGAGCTCCTGTGTGATCGTGGAGAAAAGCCCGATCCTAATCGGATCTTTCAGACTGGGTCCTTGGAAAGCTTCAGTAACTGTCACGGCACATCCAATCAAGCCATTAACACCACCAACGTTCAATTTACAAGCTGTCTCGAGCGGAACCTCAGTCATGATCCCCCTGTCAACAATAAGTTTAGGTAATGATTGTTTCATTTATTTTAAGATAATGAGCCCTGTGTTTATTTTAAGTTCAAGCACAAGTGCTCCATTAAGAAGTGTGAACTGTTCATTGGAAAAAGAACCTAAGAAAATTTCAGGAGAATTTTTTTTGTCAAGTTTGAAAGCATAGCAATTACTCCTTAGTATGACAAAGAAGAAGTTTTGAGTGGTTTAATTCTTTCCTGCAGACTGATTGTTTTTGCATCGATAACTCAAGTTGATAACCAAAAACTTCCTTTGATGAAAGAGCAGTCTCAAATTGCATCAATAACTAATATATGCCCCACATTACATATTAGTCATCAATGCAAACATAATTTTAAATTGAGTTTATGATCTTTAGTTCCAAAAGATGTTGTTGCTGAAGCGCTGATGATCCTATGACTTTTCGACGCTTTGTGATTGACTGATTACTTTTTGCCGTAACGGCAGCGTCACATGGTTATCAGTATCAGTAAATGAGACAAAACAATCACTACAAGGTCGAGTTTTCAATCAACAAGCTTTTTTTCAGAAATTAATCATTGCTGTTTCTTATGTGAAAACAATTGGGCTGTTGGACCAATAGAGTGCTCAAAGTCGCTCTGTAATTCAGCAACCCATCACATGCCAATCAAAAGTTGATAAAACTTTTGAAGCTTTATCTCAATAATTCTTAAAAACAAGGAGTTTCTTTTTTTTTTAAGTACTCTACCAAAGAAAGCAATGATGTCTCAGAGTCATAAGAATCAAGGTTTTCCCTTCGAAAACTTTCCAAAAACATCTGCTATAAACTCAAGGCTAGGAAGTCAACTTTTTCTTGTGACATGTAAACTTTAAATAGATATGGAATTCAATGAAATAATTTCATTTTATTTTTTGTATTTACCAAAAAGTAAAGATCTGTTTTTGAGTGGTTTTTCAGCCCCATCAACTATTTGAATTGCTGTCCTGTCATTAAATTTGTAATTTTTGTTTTTTTCCGTCACAGGACTCCCGTGCAAACACTTAACATGATAAGTAATAACAATCGGACCACTACAGGCCGAATGTACACACCTGACGAAAATCCTATCCAGTCTCTGCCTAAAGTCTCAAAACTCAACAGACGCCTAAATGTGCTCTCTGGCAATGGTAATTTTAGTCCTTTGACTCCCAGTTTTGGGATATTGCCTCTAGAGACTCCACCAAGTCCTTGTGAATCAACCAATCATCCGTCACCTCCCTACGTCATATCATCTCTATCAACATTGACTGAAGCCAACGATCAGAAAAATAATGTAAAAATTGTAAGTATCCTCCTTAAAAATTCACATACAGGTGTAAAAAAAGCTGCAGAGCTCAAAGCCAAAGGATCTTACCTACCATTAGGAATATCAGGGGGTAATACTTAGAGTCATGCAAGTGAATACATAATTTTTTATTAGTCTGTGTGCCGTTTCTTGCGTTCGATGCACCTATGTATTTCTCGCATGTACTGAAGAATCAGGCATATCAAAAATACCATTAATTCGGTGTTCCTAGAAACTGTAGTTGACTATCATATGACTCTAAAATACTGCCGCAGCCTACAATTTTTCTACAGTTTTGATGCATGGTAATTCCTATTATTGTGCTTTAATGCTGGTCCTCATAATCTTAGGTATCTGCTGATATCTCTTAATAAGAAACGATAAATGATTAACAAGAAATCAAAGTATTAGGAAAGACTATATAAAGGTTAGAAGTATGAGTCAGAGACTCCTGACAAGTTTATTCTTGTGATCTGGTTGTTCTGGCAAAACTGTTATTTGAATCTCTGTGAATTGATTGTCACTGTATGAGCAGTAAAATTAAAAAACAGAAGCAGAGATTAATTATCAGTATATATCATCATTTTCCATGTAGATAAAGTTTAAATGGAAGCTTTCATGCTCAAATGCTACAAATTTGACTTTTAATGGGGGAAATATGTTGAACTAAAGCCGTTTAATCCCTAAAAGACTAGAGTGTCAGTTCGTTTTCTTCTTCTTTTTCTATTCAAATTACAGGAAAATTCCTGAAACAATCACAATCCTTTTCAAATAGCAATCTTCTTACACATTAATTTTCTGACCTCTGAGATTTTGAGTGGGCCAATTAAAACAGTTTTAACTGTTTTTCTTGAATTCTCATTTCTGGTGCTTTAGTCTTTTTGAGAATGACCGATACAATTTATGTTGACAGATTAGCATATTGAAATGGTTTTGTACTTATGTGTTGTTCTACCTTTTCTAATTTTAAGCAGTCAAAAGTGTATTTTTATCTTACAATGCTTAAATTTTTTTTTCAGTTGATGAGTTCATACACACCTTCGCCGAAACCGGTTTTCAGTCAGTCAGCCGGCAACCATAGTCTGATCCCTTCTACACCAGCTGTTGCACCTCCTTTACAGTCAACGCAGAATGTTAGACGCAGCTCTAGACTTTTTAGCAATAGTTACTCAGTTAAGGTAATGAAGTCTTTAATATTGAACTGAATTTTTTGTTCCAAAGCTCTCTGTACTAAATTGTGAAATAGGTCAATTGCGCTGGCCGCAGAATCGTTTTTTGATGCTTGATCCTTGTTGATAAGCTAAAAATAATAAGATCTATACAAACCGCAACTTTCTACATTCAATATTAAAGGGGACGTCAACCTTCAAAACAAGTTTGGCTAAATCAACGAAAAAAAGGGTGCAATGAATGATGCCAAAATCCGTTTGCAAATATCTGCATTTGTTGAGCTGCTATCGTGAAAAAACAGCTGAACGCGTGATATCATGAGCTCCGTCTCGCATTTAGCAGTCAGCACTCTGCATTCTGTCTCTGGTGTCAAGTGGCCGACCCGTGTTCGCGACTAGTTATTAGTTTGCCCCAATCTCACTCATTCCTAGCCCACTCTTTTTTCTTTGCCTAGGTGTGACTATTCTCTTTTGTTGTTTTTTTCTATTTTTTTACTCCATGAATGATTTACCATCTCAGTGTGAACCGCAGTCGCACCAGGAGCGCATGACGTCACCAGTCAGACTTTCAATCATTCATATCTCTGCCGATTTTGCGAATTTTTCATTGGGACAGAGCCATTTTGTTTCTTATACCTTCCTGCTTCAATTTTTGATGCAATCTCATTTTCGATTCTAGGGTTGCCGTCCCCTTTAACCGAGTTATTACTCTTTGAAAAATCGGGTTTTTGACGGCATTCACTGCGGTAGTGACACCCTTGGTTTCTTCTATCTTGCTTTCATCCGGGTTTTATATTGTATAATGTGCTAATGTGCGTCACACCGGCTCTCTAGATATTGAATGGTAGAACTCCCCCCTGTAAAAAAAAAAAAATCCAAAGTGAATATTTTCTTTTACAATCAGCTTAGTTTCAACCAGACTAACACATTCCTGCAGTCATATCTTAATCATTTAACATCCATATTCTTGCATTCTCTTCATAGAAATGTTCCTTTCTAAATACTTTTCTTGAACTTGTTTTATTGTAAATATTTGCACTGATATATCGTTTCTTTTCATCGCAGGAAAATAATAAAAGTCCAAATAGGAATCAGTTTGTAACTCCAAAATCACCATTGCGCAAGTCCAAAGCTAATAGAGTATCAAAAACCAACAAAGCTCTGCAATATAATGAATTGAATGAAAAAAATAATAGGGAACGAAGTTCATTAATTGAATCTATGACGACGGCAGAGACAAATGCAATCATCAGCAACAATGCGCAGAATTTGGTCATCTTACAAAAGCAGTCTGTCGGTACGTATTGTTATCTCTCTAACTACTTTTTTCCTCTGAAGATTATATGTTGTTTCCAATGTACTTTCAAGCAACATAAGTTAGGCAACAAAACTGAAAGCTCGGTATATTCTGAACTAACATGTATGAACAGATTAATCTTAGTGGCTACTAATGCAGCTATACTGTAGGTGAAAGTATTTTATAAAATTCCTGAGTTTCATCTGAATTTGTGATCCATGTAGAAGCCTTTTTGTGAAAAAATGTTAAAGTATGTGTACATATTTTACACTATACAATCTTACAACTTCAATCAGACTTTTGCAAGATACAGGAGTTTCTGTAGATTAAAATAGATTTTCGGTAAATTTGGGGAGAAATGTTTTAAAAAGCTCAAAACTCCTTTTTAGAGCAAAAAAAGAGGCTTGAAGTTGAAGTTGCACTAGGGGCGTTTCTGATTGGCCCGAAGCTCATAATGGCATTTAAGGCAGCTACCTGAAGATAGAGTAAAAAAAACTCCAAAATGAACGTTGTATGGACATCATAACCAGCTCAAATATCGGGTAGTACAGGTAAATCCATTCAATCTCTCAGGATGATATGCCCCGATTAAGAAAAAATTCAAGCCATAACTATGTGAGCCCAATCACGCATTACAATATCATCAGGTAGGGTTCATTTTTCATATTTTATTTTGTTTATCTGTGTAGAAGGACTGATGCAACTATTGAAACAACTGGGTGGAGCTTATGTTCATTTGGCACAATATAATTGTCGAAAAGCCATTGAGTGTTTGAAGACCCTACCATCACAGCATTTTAATACAGGTTATGTTCTGTCTTTAATGGGCCGAGCATACTTTGACTTACCTCAATATCAGAACTGCGTCAAGTAAGTATTACCCCTTCAGTCGCAAGTTTTCTTATCTCTTAGCCTTCTTGGATTCCCCCTTTTGTGATAATTTCTTTCTTTTTAAAATCCAGAGAGATTACAAGATCACGGGGAGAATACCTCAAGCCAGTGACCAAAGATGTCCAACAGTGGTTTACCTTCCCTCAAAAATTTTAGGAGCCACCTTGGCTGGAGGATCCAATTTTTAGGAGCCAAATTAATTTTTTACCAACACATATTGGCTGAGTGTGGTGGGTTGAGAGCACTACTGTTGCTTCACAATGGACCTCTAGACAAGGTACGAATTTAAGCATTCTGATACATGATTCTTAACCAAAATTTCACGTAGAACACGATTTGCACAATGGAAATTACTGAAACCAACTCCTAACGAAGGTATTAACGTTTCTATTTTACATTGGTTACGAGGAATTTGAACCGCCCGCTCACAAGAAACTCAAAGCTCTACGTGAGTCGAATCGCGCACTACAACGGTTTCAGCAAGCCTCTCAATCGAGCAATGTTCATTTCCAACCATTTGTTGTTTAAACTGTGAGTAATTTGCTATAGCTGAGCCAAAGCGTAAAGATCTGGGTTGCCAGATTTTTACATCGCAGAGACTGTCATGATAACGTTTAGCGCGCGATGTGAATCACGTAGAGCATTGAGTTTTCATGAGCGGGTGGTTTGAATTCATGCATCAGGAATCATTGAATATCTTCGTAAGGAGTTGATTTCGATAATTTTTGTTGTGTGCATCGTGTTCTACGTGAAATTTTAGTTACGAGACATGTATCAGAATGCTGAAATTCGTACCTTGTCTAGTGGTCCATTGCAAGTTTGAAAAAATTACCTGGTTGGGTTAATTTTCTCAAGCGCCTCAACAGCCTAGCCCGTCCTCCCCCGCATCAGATGCATCAGATGCATGGTGCCCAGGGAAGGCTGAACACTAAATTTAAAAATTTAAATATTGGCTCTGATAATTATATGTTTTCAGATTACACGCATGTCCATTTATTTTGAAAATTACGTCAGGAAGAACAATTGCAGAGCCACTTCAAGTGTCTTTTTACACTGCTGTGAATTTATGATTCCTTTTAATCAGCAGCACTCACCAAAAATGAATTCTTATAGGATATTTTTACTTACTATTTGTAACCTAGATTTTGTTTGTTTAACTTTCCTAAATTTTAAGCTTTTTATGTAACTTAAGATATTAGTATCGCTGAAGTCTCTGATCGTGATTTTTCAGGTATTTCCAACGTGTGAGAGAGCTAGAACCTCATCGAGATAATATGATGGAAATTTATAGTACTGCCCTGTGGCACCTACAACAAGAAGTCAAACTGTCAGCATTAGCCCAAGAATTAGTTGCATTAGACAAAAACAGTGCAGCCACATGGTGTGTCACTGGGAACTGTTTTAGCCTCCAAAAAGAACATGACACGGCCATCAAATTTTTTCAAAGAGCGATTCAGGTACATCCTCAATTCATTTCTTGACACTATTGACCTTTCCATTTGAAGGTATGAAGATTTTCTTTCTACCACCCATTTTTTTCGACAGCATATTGGCCTCAATATTTCCATTTGGAAACTGGTTTCCAAATCCTTATGGAGAAATATATGGGTAGTTGTGATGAGACCGCGTCGAACTGGCCTCGAGACATCACGATTTTCCAGAAGTTGTTTTGTCTGGAAAACAGCGTTTTGTATTTGCAAATTTTTGAAGCTTCCAATGCTCAATTAAACCCAGGGAAATTCCTCAGACATCAGGAGCCTTAGTTCTATCAATTTATAGAAAACAAGTTTATTATACAACAGGCCTATTCTCCCAATGAATATGTTCTCTGCAGTAATGATCTGGTCTGATTTTTTATGTTTTGTTTTTTTTTACAGGTTGACCCGAATTTTGCATACGCTTATACACTTTTAGGACATGAATATGTAGCAACAGAGGAACTCGATAAGGCCCTAAATTGTTTCAGGAATGCTGTCCGTTTAGACCCTAGGCATTATAATGCATGGTAAGAGCCTTCAATTCAGAATTTTTTCTGGTAATATGTGTGTTTGAAAAAAGAATAGAAATAAAATCAAAAGCAAACTCTAAAGCAGTTGAAGGAGGAAGGAATTTTTCTAGCTCAACTTTTTACTTGTGTTTAAAAATTTACTGAAAAGAAAGGGTTTTTGGGAGGGCTCAAACTAAATCCGGAAAAAGTAGGGATTCAGAGAAAAAGAGGAGGAAAGATTACATGAAGGGGTAAAAAGAAATGAAGAAAAAAAAATAAGAAAATGAATAAAATAAAGAATTTACAACTTGTTAAGGTGATTCGATGGACGCTATATTTTGTGTCAGAACGGCATGCGATATATCGCATCAATTGGTTCAATTTTTTCAGCTACTCGTCATTTTTCTCCAATTTTGAGATTGCAATTCTGTTGTCAGGAGACTTAAGCACTCACGTACCAATTTTAACAAAGAAATTCAAGGTACTAAAGGCGTGGTTTTTTTAGAGAGAAAATATCGCATTCGAGTGCAGTTTCGATATCAGTATCGAATGCGATGTTTTCTCTCTAAAAAAACCACGCCTTTATTACATTGAATTTCTTTGTTAAAATTGGTACGTGAGTGCTTTAGTCTCCTGACAACAGAATTGCGATCTCAAAATTGGAGAAAAATGACGAGTAGCTGAAAAAATTGAACCAATTGATGCAATATATCGCATGCCGTTCTGACACAAAATATGGCGTCCATCGAATCACCTTAAATTTTGCTCAGTTAATGTTTTAGGATTGGTTTTGTAGACTATTTAAAGGGGAGGGAGCAATTATGAATAGAAAATTCTTAAATTTGGAGCAGTTCACTCTGATAATGCTGTTTTACACTTAAGAAAACTCTAGCAATGTCACCCGTGTGGAGGACCATAACTTTTTGAACCAGTGTGAATGTAAATTGGGAGTTGTAGCCATTTTAGGTTATCTAAGAATGTGTGAGGTGTTAAACCTGTGACGGAGATAATGATCAGCACGATAGAGCACTCATGAGTCAGAGGCGACCAAGGAGAAAATAATATTTCTTGTTTTACCATTAATTTGCTACTAGATGACCTATTTTTGGATTAAATGTTAACTCCAGACATCCTGCATTTTGATTCTTCTGTTTTCCTCTTGATAAAAATGCTGTTGTGAAAATGTCCTGTTTAAACATGTTTTTAGCCTTCACTATCAAGGAACTGAATTATGCTGCAATTTTTTTCTCTTAATTTTCAGGTATGGAATAGGTGCTATATTTTTCAAACAAGAAAAGTTTCAACTGAGTGAAATCCATTACAAAAGAGCCCTACAATGTAATCCTAACAGCTCTGTCCTCATGTGCCACATTGGTCTGGTGAGTTTTAAGTTTTTTTCTTGATTTTTCAGCCACATTCTAATTGCAACCATATTCAACTGTGATATTGTCTTCCTGTGACTTCTCATTTATTTGTAAAATCAGAATTCATAATGATTAACATTTTTTTACGTTGCTAAAAAGTAGACATCGACGGAATCATCAAAATTCAATGGCTGTCTTTCTAGGGTCAGAAGGAGGGTGAGAAAATATGAGAGAAAAAATGATAAATTTTGATGAAGCTCCATATGGTAGTTTTCTGCTTTTTTCACGGCTACTTCATCTGAAGCACTCGACATTGTAAAGGAAGGAGTTTTGCAGCCCATCAGTCACCACTCATGAGATGGAATTTCTGGGAGCTCAACACAATTTTTTCTTTTTTTTCATTCATTAAGTATTTGTTTACTTGATCTAAGTATTTGTTTGTTTACTTGATCGAAGTATTTGTTTACTTGATCTAAATATTTATTTACTTGATCAATGGACTTCTAAAAGCAATGTGTAACTCCAGGCTGCACAGACTGGTTGCCACGATCAAGGAATTCGTTTGTTAACATTCCTTTTTAATCTCTCTCTTTAATAAGTCTACCCATCTTTTTTTCCTAGGTACAAAATGCCCTAAAGAAAACTGAAAAGGCTATTAGAACGTTCACGAATGCTATCCAAATGAACCCAGGGAATCCACAACCCAAGTTTCAACGTGCAAATATATATTTTGTCACCGGCAGACATGCTGAGGCATTGAAAGAATTAGAAGAGCTTAAGGAGCTTGTCCCCAAAGAATCTCTAGTCTACTATGTAACTGGCAAGGTAACGAATACTGAAGTTTCATTTCATCGGCACTAGTTATGTTATACTATGGTTTTTTTTCTGAAACATGAAGTTTGATCATGAATTGTGCGAGATCAACCATATGATAAATTAAAATAACTTGAAAAACTGATAACTCATAGCTTGAATACTACGGAACTGAAGCAGAACTTCCTATCAAATTTTTATGTTTGTTAGATCTTTCATGTACATATGAAACGAATTTAACATCTTTTAATGTAAGGAAGAATTTATCAATACCAATTCACACAGGTCCATCATTGTGCATCTTTTTGGAATCAGCTTCCCTGCCAAGTCCTCACTTGACGAAACCTACATGGATTGGTCTTAATAGATAATTCTCTATACTAGGCAAGGTGCGAATTTAAGCAACATCATGTATGTTTTTTCATCAGGATTTCAGACAGGAAAGGATGAGCGCAACACACATTTTTGAAAGCTTATAATTTCTAACCAAGATATTAATAGTTTTCAGTGCTTTAATTCAAACTTCCCACTCATTAATCACAATAATCTCGAGCAACTTGGCTCAGCTGTTGCACATTGTTCACACTTTGATATAGAACGGGTAAGGAACGCTGCCCGATTAAGGAGCCGGCTGAAACAGTTGTGAAACGCAAGTAGACTCTGATTTTTTATGAGCCAGAAATTGAAATTCTCGCGACCAATGCAGTGTAATGGACGTGTCAATACTAAGAGTTCATTTCAGTGGTTTTTGTTACGCAAATCGTGTTTTCGGCGAAATTTCAAAGCGGTACAAGCAGAACATCGTACCTTATCCAGTGGTCCATTAATCGTAACACTTTTTCTCAAATTCCAAGAATCTCACTGTTTCCTATAATTTGTTAGTCGCAAGAGCAGACTTTCCTCTTAACCTTGTTAAGGTGTTGTCTCATTCTCTCATCCTGCAGATCTATTCATTGAACTACATTTTGCAATAAGGAACTACTATTTTTGGCTCATCCAGAAACGCTTGTATCTGCATAAGAAACTGACAGTACATCTGTTGTTCCTAAAATTAGCCAGAAAAAGTAGTTCCATATTGCAAAATGCAGTCCAATTCAGCTTGTAAAATGGAATAAGAATAGTATGTCCTCTACCTTCAATTTAATTCATGTTTTTTTCAATTTTGATTGCAGGTTCATAAGAAGTTAGGTAATACAGATTTAGCATTAATGCATTTTAGTTGGGCTACTGACCTTGATCCAAAAGGTGTCAACAATCAAATCAAAGAGGCAATTGACCCTGCAATGAACCGAAGTAGTGCTGATGATGCTGCAGGTAAGCTTTCTTTTATTTAAAAACGTTGTCACCTTCAGCTTTTCTAAGACTGATTAATATATATACCTTCCCTTCCTTAATGTTTTTTTTTTGCAATTTTTACACAGCAAAGCATAGCGTACTCTAGAATGCAACAGAGTCGCAGGTTTTGACTAACATCAAGTTAGTTTTTCCCTTATTAAATGAGATGATGAGGTCCTAGATCACGACCCTTTACAAGAAGGGTAGAAAAGACAATTGTAATACGAAGAATTACCAGGGGTTTTCAATTAAAGGGACAAAAAGCAAAGGAAACAGCGAAATATTAGGAGCAAAGATAGAGAAAGATTGACGAGATCACAAAGCAGCAGAGCAAGCTGGATTCAGGCCTGGCAGGCTTGCTATGGATCCCAAGGAAAGAGAAAATCTAAGGTCTACTAAGGGAACCTAATGTAATTTATTATTTCTTGGTAATCATTAGGTTTTAAGTATCAGCTCGCAAATTATTTAGGAGCGCAACAATCTCATAATCTAGACTTGGTTTGTCTATTCCTACTTCCTCTTGTATTACCATTGTTATCAACTATTCTTTTGATTTGTTTGAAAACAGGCGATGAGTTTGCTAATGAAGTGAATTCAGCACCGGCAGAAGAATCGTCATCGCAAGAAGATATCAGTAGAGACTTCCCACTATTGCAACAAATGCCAGACAGTGATGAAAGTCTATAATCCTCCGTTCGCTCTGCTTGATTTGTTTCCAAAAATTCCTCATACTAGTGAAATAATCTAATAAGGTTTCATTTTTATCTGTTTTATTATTCCCTACTAAATCTAAGAGTGCAAGTAGCTAAATCGTTTATTGTACATAACTGTAAGTTGTATTGTTTAATTGGTGAATACGGAGTAGAAATAACAATCAATGATCGTGGACCTCAATAAGCATGTCATTTAAAAAAAGGATGTATGAGTCAGTTCTTGCTAATTTTTGGCACTATGTACATATATCAGGTGTGATTGCTCTTGCAGATACTGGACTTACTAATCCCTGTCCACCACACCGATAGCGTATGTATTATATTGCTGATATGTTGCTTATTTTTCCTTCGTTTTTTATTAGTTTAATACGTTTGTAGAGAGAAAGGATGATTTTTATCGTTTGTTTTATAAAATCGTGGTTTGTACATTGATTTCATTCTTTCCCCTTTTCTCTTATTTTCCTGTCTTCTTTTTAATAATTTATTAGAAAAATTATCATTGTTTACCTTTATCTGGCAAGAATGTTATGTAAATACATCAGTCTGAACAATTCTCTCGCTTCTTTTTTAAAAAAATGGAAGTTCCAGGAAGACACGTTAATTTATGTTTTTCATCCAAAATCTCAAAAATCCAAAATTACTCAAGTAAACCCTGCAATTTTTTTAGACTGAACAGAATGCTTTCTTTATGTACTGTAGCACTTTCTCATTTTCAATAACATTGGATACATAATTTTCATTTTCAATAAATTGAACACAGGTGACAGCTATATTTTTTCTATTTTGTGTTTTTAACATTGTTCCGGGTATCCTCTCTTCACGCGGTAACTTTTCAATCCATCAGTTGAACACTATGCAAGATCTTTTCTGAAAAAATTAGGTTATCAAGTGTCCAAAAATTATTTACACCTGACATTCTACGCTGTATCCATAAATTTACAATTTTAACGTTACATTGTTACCATCGTGAAATTGGTATTTTTTTAATGCAGAGGAAAAACTTCTTGTAGGCCTCTACTGGGATAATTTCATCAAACTAGTTCCCTCAAACTTTGGCACAGTCAAGAATAACTTACTTCCGAGTTATGCAGATTCAGGCAAAATATGTACTACTTACTTTTAAAAACTGAAGTTGTTTTCTGTTCTTTTTTTTCGTTACAGTCCTCATGAAAATGGCCAGTTTTAAGCCGTACGCTTTTTATTGAAAGTTTTAACAAGCCATTGATATGAAAACGACTTATTTTGTGATATAAGAAGGTCCGAATCAAATAACGATAGCATGATCTTAGTCTTTTCATTCATCTCTTTTTTTTCTAATTTTAAATTCTGCGTGAGTTACATCCCTGTCAAAGCTATAGATCTCTGGTTCATTCAGCATTTAATATCAAGTGACAAATCTTCCTCTCAAAAATCTGTTCGGATAATTACTACATTTTTAGTAAAACTTTTAGCCTATTGAACCAATTCTCTGCCTTCAAACACCTCACGACTCATCAAGCATTGAATATAGCTCCTAAATTTCTGTACATGTAAGTTCTCATCTCCACAGATTGAAGTTTTGTAATAAATTTATAGAAGTTGTAAATTTTTTGTGTTCCTTTTCATTTTAATCTCATTTTAGGTTATCTTTACCATGCGAAAATCCCATAGTTGACCAAGAAAAAAAAATTAAGAATCTTTTTAAATTTTTAAACCGCACAGAACGAAAATGCTTCATTTTAATTGTTAGGCTTATCAAATAAACTGACCACTAAAGCTCTTCATCTTTGCCGTTGATTAATACTGCTGCATCCAATTTTTTCCAAAAATCTATGGCTTGACAAGAGTTCTGTCTCAAAACATACTTTAAAGAAACAAAGCAGTAAGTAAATGATATAAAAACTAACTTTTTTAATGAAAAAATAAAGAAACACGGTGTAATTAATCTTAAACATTCAATAACAAAGACCAAAAACAGTTAAATGCTTGAATAAGCTGACGATTAACCTCTGTACTGATCAGAATTTTAATATTTCTTTCTACATCTCTACCAGCTTAGATTCATAGATTTTGGAATTTTGCTCAGTGCCTTACTTACAGTTAGTTCATCATTTCACCTGTTTAATAAAAGAAACTAATGGCTTGTAAAGCCATTTCCATTAATTTACATCACAGCTTGGAGGAAAAGAATTTCAGCCTTAAAAAATTATGTGAACACATACAAATCTGTATGGCTGATGGTACAAAGAACATAAAACTATTCTACATTTACGTAATGCTTTGACAAAACATGGTGTCAAACAATTAAACTGATATATGAGTTGGTGCCAATACACCGAGACTTGCCATGTAAGCTACGACAGGGGTGAAAGGCTTTGAAACTTTGAAAAATGAAACTAAACCACAGTCTTTAAATAGCTCGAATTGTTTACTAATTTATCTGAAGAGACTGTGAATTATAGGTACAAGCAACCACTAGACAAGGCTTTAACTGTAGCTTGCGTTCTCACAATAATACAGATGACTTCTGTCATTTGTACCGTACATTACCCGGCTCAATTTTCCTGAGGTTCTTTGCATAAATGAAAAAAATGAAGATGCAATAAGCAGGAGGGCTGCGATGAAGGAAAGTATCTACTCTTATTTAAAAGTGGGAGTCAGGCCAGAAGGCTTCTCAACAGACTAAGCTCCATTCTAAATAAATTTGGTGAAGTGGGCGACTTGAGTTTGATTGGGAACTCTACAGAGTGGGAATCGCAACTATCTGGATTTTGAGGTTCCCTTGTATGTCTATATATTAACTCATAACATAATTTGAGTCACATTCATCAGAAAGGTAACAAAATAGGAAAGTTGAACATAACAAACTCAATCTACTTCAACTGGAGTGGACTCACGTCTTAAGATCTAAGTTTGAAGACTACCAAGGATGAGAACAAGAACTGTCAAAAAAGAAAAGGGCTCTCATGACAAAAATTTATCAGGGCATCGAATTTAAAAAGTCATGCGATGAATTCAGTTTGCCCACCAATCAGTGCTTTTTTGCTTCACCTTGACCATTTGATGGCTCGATTTGATCCTGACAAAACTATGCAGGAACTACAATCATGCAGATGACCTTGCGGTAAAACAACAGTGCCAATTTTGCAAACCAGTGCGTCTGGCTTAAGCAAGGGCAGAACTGAAATTGCACTCAATTCTAAAATTTTATGAGAGGCAGTTCCACAAATCTAACGTTGTACTAGCGCAAAAGAATACCGACTCCAAGAGACTGGAGATTTCATACATAAAAAGATACAAAATTTCATTCTGTACAAAGTCTTGTTTCACAAAGTTTTACATCTATTTAAAACAGACGAGGTTAACTAGAGGAGAAAACAATATCGTAAACTTGATCGTATTGATTCACAAAATGAACTTCTAGACCTTCTGTGATGAATTTTGGCAGATCATCAAAATCTTTCCTATTTTCTTCAGGTAAAATAATGGTTTTAACGCCAACTCTTTTGGCGGCAATTGTTTTCTCCTTGATACCTCCTACAGCTAAAACTTTACCCATTAGTGATACTTCACCTGTCATAGCGAGATCTTGTTTAATTGGCACTTTCTTAGCCAATGAAAGAAGTGCAGTAACAATTGTGCAGCCAGCACTAGGTCCGTCTTTCGGTGTTGCTCCTTCAGGGACATGCAGATGTAGATGGCTCGTTGTTAGGAACTGGTTTGATGGGTCATGTTGACTCATAAAATTCCGTGCCACTGTCAATGCAATTTTAGCTGACTCTTTCATAACGTCTCCCAAGTGTCCAGTTAACTCCAAACTACCTTCACCACTACTTTTCTCAGTCTCTTGGTTGGCTTTACGAGTTGCTGTTTCGATAAACAGAGTGGAGCCACCCATTGCTGTCCATGCTAGTCCCATCACAACACCTGGAGGCGTTAAAGTGTAAAGCCGATCCTGTGTGAAGATAGGTTTACCAACGTAATCTGGCAGAAGCGCAGGGGTCAATTCAACATAGTCTAACTCCTTCTTTGCTACTTTAAATGCAATCTTTCGCATTATTTTCTCAATCTGCTTCTGCAGATTCCGCACGCCACTTTCACGGCAATAAGATTTGATCAGAACCTTTAAGGAATCATCTTCTAGCTTCAGCTGGGTTTCTTTCAAGCCGGAATCAGACCTAGCCTGTGGGATTAAGTACTGTTTAGCTATGGCAACTTTTTCTTCTGCCACGTATCCAGAGACATCAATCATTTCCATACGATCCCGCAGAGGTTCCGGAATGGTGTCGATTATGTTGGCAGTGCAGATAAAAAGAACTTTTGACAGATCAACAGGAACGTCAATATAGTGATCTAAGAAATTGGCATTTTGTTCTGGGTCGAGCATTTCTAACAGAGCGGACGCAGGATCGCCCTGGAAACCTCTTCCCATTTTGTCAACTTCATCGATCAAAACAAGTGGATTTTCTGTTTTGGTTTTCTTCAAGCACTGGATCAGTTTTCCTGGCATTGCACCGACATAAGTGCGCCGATGGCCTTTGATCTCCGCAACATCTGTCATACCACCCACACTGAATCGGAAGTACTGAAAGAAAAGAATAGAAAAAGACAAAAGAATGAAATTACTTGCATAGCGAATATATTAGCTCCCTGTGTGATGTTCTAGAAAAATTGTTTTAAAAATTAAAGAGCAAATTTTAAAAAGAAAGGATTTTTCAATATCCTATTTAGGCTTTAGAGCATTAATCAACGACGAAGAGGCAGAATTGAAAAGGTACTATGATGAGGGTTGTCTTTCTAATCCCCCCAGTTTGTAGCAGTTTGTAGCTCTCCAGTGGCTTAAGGGAAAAGCACCTAAGTAGTAGCCACCGGTAAAAGTTGCCAGGATCCAACTGGATCCTGCACAGAAAACTAAGAAATTTGGCCCTGGCTAATTTCATTACTACGAGTATTTGATATGGTTATCTGACATTTTTTATAACATTTGGTAAATCTCTTATTTTTAGCTTGGAATGCTCATCTTGTTATTCTTCCTTGTTTCCCCTCTATGAAATAGATTTTGTAACTTAGAAGAGTGTGAATAAATAAATAAATAAATAATGATGAAATTCAGCCAGTGCCAAATACTGTTACATTCCATGCTGAATCCTTTGTGTACATTCAAGGATTTGAGTACTTAGAATAAAAAATTAAATAATTCAAGGACTTTTCAATAAACTCATAACTTCATAAACTCTTCAAGACCCATTTTAAATTCAATATGACTTACCTCTCGATTGAGAGCTTTGGCGATGGATTTGGCAATACTTGTTTTACCAACACCAGGTGGACCATAAAAACACAATATTTTACCCTGAGTTGTCCCTTTCAGCTGACTGACAGCAATAAACTCTGAAAAATGAGAGGTAAGAAAAAGGTAAGTAAATTCAAATAAGCAAAATTGATTCTGTGCCAATACGAAGGCTCAGAGACTCACTTCTGAGTGAGAGAGGAAAAAAAACACAAAGCACTATTCTTCTGCTTGAAAATGTTTCTACTCGAGGTTGCAGAGATTTGCTTCACATACGAGCAGGCTCACCACATCCCATCTCGGGCCCTGGTACCAATTTTAAGGTTCGGGCCCCAAGCACGGAGTGGGGAGGGATCCGAGGGGCATCCCCCAAGAAATTTTAGAATTTATACGACTAATCGGACGCATCTTGAAGCTTCCATAAAGAATTTTTCCATCAATTTCTGCGGAATAATTACGTTTTTTTTTTTTTATACTTCCAGCACAAAACACTTGCAAATCGTTGCATTCAGAACATCTGGAATTTTTTTTTTTTTTTTTGGGGGGGGGGAGCATATGATACTATTTTCAGTTCTATGAGGGCCAGGCCCCCTGGACTCCCCCTTCGTTTGTCTATGGCAAGGGAGTTGAGCCATGAGCCATTGAGGTTGAGGATGCCCAGACTGGAGACTCTTAGCATCTGACGACGGAAGAAAATGAAACGCAGTTAATAAAAATATCCCTCTGTACTGAAAATCTTGAAAATAGATAGAAATTTTCCAAGAAGTATACTTCTTTGAAAATTTAAGAAGAATTCTACAGTGCCCCAGCGTGTGTCTGAAAATCTATTCACTTTCAGCGAAATTTTTAGGGTAAATTTTTCATTTTTTCTCACGAAACAAGGGTTGCATGTGAATTCGTAGTGGTTTTTCACGGGTAACACGGGCCCCCTCCGGGACCCGGGCCACGGTACCAGAGACCCAGTATCCCCCCCCTTGTGGCAGGCCTGCATACGAGAGTCGTTCCAAAAGTAAATGTCCCTATTTATTTACTCTAAAACTCTATAAGAACAAGTCAAGTTTTCTCTTTATGAGAACAAGCGATAAGGATAAAACGTAAATAGTTGAATGGGAGTAGAAGAAAAATAAGCATTGTACCTAGTATTCTTTTTTTGACATCCTCCATTCCATAATGATGTTCTTCTAAAATTTTAGCCGCCTGTGTCAGATCAAGATTGTCTTCACTCATCACACCCCAGGGCAGTGAGGTTAACCAGTCTAAATAATTCCGCGTTACACTGAAAAAACAGATTAAAATGAGTGAATTTTTGGCAAAATTTGAAACTTTGCCAGATAAAGTGCCAATAATGTTAGAAAAGTGAAATGGAAACCAGGTATATTAAAATTTGTCCATTTTGGTTTTTCATTTTTTATTAATTTATCATCATCTGTCTTGAATGGGGCAGTGGGGAGGAGTTTTGGAAGGATCGTGGCATGGTTCCCTTTTATGAGACTTCGTAAAAAAACCAGAAAGATTTTTAAAAGGTTCAAAATAGCATTTAGAAAGGGAGAAAAAACTTATCAAAATCCGCCCAATCAAAAGCTCATAGTCAAGTTGATGTTACACAGCGATATCTAAAGCTGAGTTCAGCTACAGGCTATTTCCTTCACCTGGCTATGTCATCAGAGCCCGCCAAAAATATCATTCCAAACGGACCCCAATACTGGCATTTTCAAAGCAGGTTTTTTTCACCATTTATCATTACAAAAATTCCTGGAGGCTTGGTTCATTTCGTACTTTCAGAGGATGAATATCAAATAGTGTATTTTTTCGGAAAATACACTTAAAAAAATGGGTGCCACCATCCCATTGTTTTCTCCAAAATGTTTCTGTCCTAACAATTAGCTGCTGCGGATAGATGCTCATCCAGGCCAAAACCAAAATATGACCCTATATTAGGAGGGAATTTTTAAAGAGCTTTCTTTAGTCTTATCTGTGTTCAAAATTAAACTCAAACGCTAAACTATTTACTTGAATTCAGAGGAGTGGCTTTCCAGAAATCCTAATTTACTAAGTTCTTCATTGATGACGTCCATTACAGGTTTCGGAACATTTTTGTCCTGTAACAACAAGGAGAGAATTTAAATTAAGTACATAGTTGAAATAACAATTTGGTAATTATAAACGTACTTCAATCATAATAATTTCAAAATGAGTGATTATTTTCTGGTCTTCACAACTATTTTTTAGGAACAGATAGAATGTACAACTTACTTCCACACAAAATTTAGAGATTATTTACTGCGATGAAACCTGAACCTTAAAATTTAAAAACCTTTTAATTACCTTTAAAATTACCTTTTAATTTATATTAATGATGGGTAGCCTTCATGATCCTAGTATAAGTGAAAGGGTAATTGATCCCTAATGTATTTTTTGCAAACTTAAAGATTTTCATCTTTAAAAAGTTCAAAATTGAGTCGTAAAAATTACAAGCCAGCATAATTAAAACTCAGAGGAAACCTGCACCACTCAATTCAATTGCTACAGTAAAAGAGAACAACATTGCTGTCTGACACGGCTGATGTTCCGTGCAAGGTATTTGCAATTTCCCACGCTAAACCTATGTAAAATTATTGAGTTCTCTACACACTACAGTAACCCTGCCGCATGCACAATGTGAAAGGTCGATTTCCTGCTAAACACATATGTTTGAATTCTTATTAGTAACAGCCGCTTGTGAAGATCTTTTGTTTGCATTTTGTCAGTGTCTAAAAGTTCCAACAAATTCTCTAATGAATCTTTCACCTCATAGCTTATGAAAATGGATTAAACAAATTTTAAGCGAATGACCCATTATGACCCACTAATTGCTTCATATCAGTATCTGTTATCTATGGATGGGAAAAGTAAATTTACGCCACTCTTATACAGAATTTACCACAGAAGTAAATTCTATTTTCAGTTAAATAGATTTGGTTAAAAAGTGACTCCCAAACTGAGCTTATATTTTTATAGGAGTGAAAAACACTTGAGTTACCTTGATCCTCTCACGGAACTTTTCATCAATTGCATCTTTGTCATCTTTCTCCAGTCCCAATTCTTTCTTTATGACTTTCAGTTGTTCCTGCAGTATATACTTGCGATGCTGCTGTTTGACTTTTTCCTCAACCTCACGCCCAATTTTTTGTTGCAATTTGCTAAGCTCGTATTCTTTTTTCAGCAGAGAAAGAGACAGCATAAGCCTTTTGGGAATCTACAGAAAAAGAAATTTACATTAGTTAAGAAATATTTGCATGGTATGATTGAATGACAAAAATAAATATACAATACTTCAGAGGTTTTATGGAAGTACGATTAAACAAGTTGAGGATGAATATGTAAAAATATCGCATCAAGGTCATTAAAATCAGATCAATTTACATTTGTTTTACACGCAGGTTTGTAATGGGTAAGTTGTGCTTGTCACAGTATCATGTTCTGGTGGTTCAAAATTACAGATAACAAAACCAAAAAATAAGCAACAAAAATAAGATCTGTTTTAATGCCAAGTTTATGTCCAAAATATTAACAGAAATATTGCTCATCAAAAAACACAGCATCACCACAATACATCATCCACCGTAATATTGCATATCATAGTTTCTTTCGCTTTGGTTTTCTTGATCAGTAATACACACATTTTCACTGGTTGCTGGACATGAATCATGTATGAAACCAAAAAATGCACTACTGCAGTGGATGATGCATGTTTTTTTAACGCAGTGCCATGTTTTTTTAATTGGTTATGTCTCTGGATTGGACAGATCTTATTAGTTTTTGCAAATCTACATGCTTCTGCCATCAAAACACAATTTTGCGATACGCGCAACTGATTGATTGTATTGGTATTTTTTCCCTGACTGAGTGGTCCGCTACAATACATTAGGATTCGTTAGTTCTCTTTTTTAACCTTGTTTGCCGTATTTTAATTTCATTACGTGTTGACAAGGGCTGCTCATATGACTGTGTCTCTTAAATATCAGCATAGAGAGAGATTTTATAACGCTATCTCTCTCTTACAGATTGAGTGACTGGGCAATGTAAATTACGGTAGTTTCTAATATAAATTTTCATTAAATCTTCACAAATTTGATGTCACACTAAGTACTCAAGGTTGATGCTAATGAACGTTATGGATCAGTTTCTTGCCTTAATTTGTACATTACGATAACTAATGTTTCTCAAAGATACAGACTGTGTAGCAGCGCAATATAGAGGTGGATCTTGTCCCTAAGTCACTTTGAATTACCTGAGTAGCAGGACTTAGTATATTTATGATAACTTACATTCATTTCTTCTAGGACTTTTTGCAGTTCATTGGCCTCTGCGCCAGTTAGAGCAGCTCCCAAATCGGACAAATAAACAGGATTGTCGACTACCCTTTGCCCTTGATGCAACATCTGCTGTAGTGATTCTCTGTACAGTGGGTTCATGCTAATGATGTCTCGGATAGTTTTGACTACTTCTTGGGTTAGAGCCTGGCAACAAATGAACAAAATGAGACTTAAATTGCTATCCACAACAGGAAGCAAAATATGAGGTGGCTTTGTTGCACATACACATTTACTTAAAAAAAAGAGAAAATAGTTGATTGGAAAGAAGAACTATGATATCCTGCGCAATGCGAAGGATAGGTATTCGCTACAACACAGGAGTGTTCTTTCATACCACCATTGATGTCTGCTATTAACAAGAAAAAGATCATGATGTGCCTTTTGCATGGTGTTCCATAAAACAAAGACAAAGTCTTACCAGATGTGAACATTAAGAGATGTATTGGATAACTGAATAGGTTCCACAATGAAAAGTAAAAAGGGTACAGCTCAGGCAAGAGAACAATTGATAGTGTTGTCAACACATGGTTAGACAGTTGAGGCCTTCATTTGAAATATCAACTGACTGTAGGTACACTTCTTCAACTTTTTAGCCTGTGGCCCGATTATTGAATCCATATTGATGTGACAAGACAAGCCATATTCTTACCTTCACCACACAGTATATGGCATTTTGATGTCTCATCATGCTGCTATAAACCTTCAACAATCAGTAAGATCGTGAACTCTTAGACAACATAAATATGATGCACATTTGGGGGTAAACCATTAAACTTCTTCTAGAGAATTCTTGCAGCACGCATGTATCACATGGTGCACTATAACAATTAAATACATACTTATAAGACAACTTTAAAAGGTTAAAAGATGTACAGTCTCAGCAAATGATGACCAAAAAAAGGTTTCCTTTTCTTGTTGTTTCCTGCGTTTGAACCAAAAGGAGATATTTTACCCTTTCTTTACCGGGAAAAGGCTAAATTTTGAGTTTGTGACTAGTTGCCATATAATTAGTGTTCCTATTAAGATTCATTGTTAATTAAAACAATATAAAATGTTTCGTAATCGGCAGTCTCACAAAAATGACTCACCTTGACTTCTTCTGTCTGTTTGAAATTTTCATGGACAACATTCTCAACTTCTACCATTAAAACTGGTTGAGGTTCTTTGGCCTCCCCTTCAACTTTCAAAGGTTCGGTGTCTGAGACTACAGTTGTGTCTGGTTGAGGTACCGGGTCTGGTGGGATGGGCTCGACAACTATTTGTTGCAAACGTTTTCGGTTACGATGTTTGCCCCTCCTTGAGCGCTCTCCATTTTCTACAACAACGTCAATACCGTCATTTAACATCGGATATTTCAGCCGCATCACTGTGGCAACACAGTAATTTAACCTTAGATTAGTTTCATGGTAAAAGTACTTACAATGTTTCATGACACCATCATAACATATTGGAAAATGAAAAATCATCAGCTAACTGGGTTTATTTGTGATTGAAAGAACTATGCTGCCGCACTAAGGAAAAACGCAGTAACAGTATTTGAATGATGCCAGATTTCCCCTAATAAAAAATGTTTCATCAAAGAAAGTTATGCTTATTTTTCGTTAAAACTTTTCATGACTATGAAAATTGTATACACTTATGATATACTTATGATATCAATTATTAAACAACGGACAATTCAAATCAAAATGGTAACATTACATAAGTAAATCTTAATTATGGATATTCATTATACATTTATGTATTTTTATTGGTATTATGTATGATAGCATAGAGAAAAAAAAGGAGGTGTTTGCATTTCGGGCATCTTGGAATTTTTTGATGACTTGATGACGTAGGTGGGTACAGCTGGGTACAGCGACGTCCCCTTCACGCTGTACCCACCTACGTCATCAAGTCATCAAAAAATTCCAAGATGCCCGAAATGCAAACACCTCCTTTTTTTTCTCTATGGTATGATAGAGGATCATCCGACGAATAAGATCACAAGTTATTAAATTAATGTCATCAAATTATACCATGTTTCCTGCTATGTCCTGATGATTGCAAATGCCAGAAACCTTTGCCAAATCTGAGAAAAACAAATTTTAATGAGAGGTTTGCCTTATTATATCAATAGCACTAGTGACCCTAGTTCTCTTGGTCAAAACAAGAGCTACTATCTATCGTGATGAATTACAAGGATTACAAAATTGGAAAGTATTTTAGGAACACTGCAAATCTTATAGATGACAGAAAGTGAACACTCCACAACAATCTGCTTGCTTACATTTCCTCGACTCACCTGTGGGAGGCTCTTCACTGTCGAAAATTTGACCAAGTATCTTAATCCTGCGATGCGCCATGACAACTATTCGTAATTTATCCCCCAAATCTTGCATTTCGTGAATTTGAGCGAAGGTGCCGATCTGATAAACATCGTCAAGGCTAGTGATCGCTTCGGTATCATCCCTGTGAACAAAAAGGAGCCAGTGCAACAATACGAGATAAAAATGAAGAATAACATGCATCACATTGTTCGGCTCCTCAACAGGTCAAACTTATGTTAATGTCAAACAGTGTACTTAGGAATAAAGTTGACGAAAAGTAGGAGGTGAATGAAATTTAGAAAAGTTTTCGATAGCTCATTCAATCTTTTCACCTTAACGCTCGTAATTTTTAAGATGTGCCAATGGATGAGTTGCGCTGGTTATAGAATCAGGTTCTAATAGCTTAAGCTTACAGATTAGCAAAAATAATTAAAGCTGTTCAACTGCCAAGTTTTAACGTCCGATATCAACGTATAAATCGCTTATAAGGCATGGTACACCTGGGACATCATCTACCGCGGTAGTGCACAACATAGTCTTACCATATTGGATGATGTCATATGCCATGTTTTTTGATGAGTACATAAATGGGCGTATTTTTTGATGGCATGTTGGAATTCGGTGTTCGGACTGATCTTATTCACTTTTGCTAATCTACATGCTTACGGCACTGAAACATGATTCTACAACTGGCGCAACTGATGCACATCTCTGATTTTTCAAAATTTGAGTGAACTGTGTTGGTAATGTTAGATTTTTGGATGTCACTTACTCTGAATTCTTCTTCAAGAAAATGCCAGCATAAGGTTGATTCAGACGTACTTTCCTTCTTATTAGATCAATCAACTGAGGATTCGTTATCTGCAAAAAAATTAGGGAGAAAAAAGAGAGAGATTATAATCTGGATCGGCAGAACTAGGATCATGCAGCTGAAGATTAGAACGTACAAAAAATGTAGGCACACAAATTTTTTGATCTAATCAGACTGACATTGGGAAAATCAGCCTGACTGCACTTCAGATTTCCCAATTTCCCCTCTTGCAATGTTATTAACGGAAAACTAAGCAACATGATGCCTTAAAACTTCCTTAGAATCTACTGTGCTTGAATTCTAAACAATATACTTAAAAAATTTCAAGTTAGAATTTTGTTCCGTTACATGTCAAGTGAGTAGAACGAAAGAGTAGATTGAACAACATCTGATGATAATGGGCTGATACTGGTCAAACCTAATCCATTACTCAGAGCTGCAAGCTCAGAGAGGTCATGAAAGCCTTATTGCTCAAAAAGGTTCTCACTTGATCTTTCTGATGAACGTCTACGATGGCAAGAGAACAGCGGTTATGATGAAAATTTTCTTTTGATACCGATGGTAAAAAGAAATCATCTCTGTTTACACAACTCGTGCATCAAACCACTACTGTTAATTCTTAAAATTTTCAGATTTTTCCAACCTGTCGTACCTCTGAAAGATGATAAACTACCGAAAATGAGATAAGACTCACCTCAATTAACTTGATGAACCTGGGGAATACTGGATTCCTGGTAATACCGATTAGTGGTAGCTGGGGCCATACTTCTGGCACAACCACTGTCGCAGGCAGAGAGTGATGAAGGGGATAGTCATCTTCTGGTTTAGACTTTCCATCATCCCCATCGGCTGGATCATCGTTGATGGTGCTGAAGCTTCTAATACTATGACAACTAAAAGCTGCTGGATGATGCAATGAATTTATGCTATCAACCCTGCTTGTCAGCACTGAGCTCCCACTTGGACCAACCCAGCGATCTCCATCATGCAATGTAGATCTTACTGGTTTTGAAAGAACACGGTAATGATACTTAAAGTACTTTGCAAAAGCCAAGTTACGATGTTGAGCACTAGTGAATTTATCTAGATTTTTCAAACCAATTCTCAACATTGTGTCAGGATGTCCGTCGCAGCTTTGATGAACGAAAGTGAACAGAGACCACTATGGAGATTGGAGGGCATTTAAAATATGAGACAATATAAACCGGCAGCGAAAATAACTTAGGAGTTGATACACCGCCTAAAATCTATAGGTGGTGTTGCAAGAGAAACAGAGTCCAATAAAGTCATGATTACTTAAGCAAAGGAGTCAACTTTGACGCCGATTTTCACAATTAACTAAGAAAGCAAACGCTGCACTTAACTTCGAGATTTATAAACAAATAATAGTTTATACAATCGGAGAACTGATGTCTTCTTGGTAAACTGCTTATCACTGAAAATAATTTTTAAACCCACTCCACTAAGTCCACTATTCTAGAACACTGTAGAACATAACCAAAAAGACGCATGTGATACCGGTTGATGATGTAGCACGGGATGGTGTAAGGTGAACACCGGTGATCAAAAGTTCCACAGCTTTCGAAAGTTCGGAATAAATTTTGAAATTTTGGCGGGAAAAAAACGGTCCGCAACTCGGCATGCTCATATTAATGAAAATATTAGGTACAAATCATGAAGAAAAAAAGTAGGTAAGTATTGATGGAAGTATTGCGACTTGGGTTGATTTTGTTCACGTATCAATGTTGGAACTAGATAAACACACCTGAATCAATTAGTACTTCAATGTTTCTGATGAAACTTTTTAAGTGTGTACTTATTTTTTCTTTTTAAAAAAAAAAATAAAATAAAATAAATATCATTGACTTAAAATTGTTTATGAAATTTCGACGAAAAAGGATTAAGATGTTTTTCCTTTATGACTGAAAAAAGCTTGCTAAAAGGGTACGATTGCAAACTTATTTGCCAAGCCACATAAATGATTGCAACATAATTTTTGCTACCATGTTGATAAGAAAATTTACTCCAAGTTTTAAGCAGGTTTCTTATTTGGTAAGATTGCAGAAAGGCTACGGAAAGATTTCAATTTTCGTAAAAAAAAAATTGCCTCTTTCAATTTTACTATCTTGGTTGAGAATACAGTCTAATGTGAAAAATACTATATTTTAGCAACCATGGTGCATGACCAAGCAGGTAGGAGAGATGTACACATAAAAGGAGAAAAAAGAAAAATAATTGAGTACATAAAAATTTATTCAGTCAAATCAAATAAGATCAAATCAATAGGAATGATTTTCTGTACAATTTAGTGAGTAGTTAATCTACTTCTTACCGAAGTCAGACAGAGTACCTATGTAAGGTAAAATGTAATTACAAAGAAAGAAAAATATGTAAAATTTATTACCTCACTAGCTTGTAGAGAAGAGAAAAATCTTCAATCAAATGAGGAAAAGGTTTCAAGGTTCAGATAAAATGTGTTTAAATTTAAAAAGTAAGACTCTGACCGAACACATTAAACTATTAAAAAAATTGAAGTTGTTTTGCAAGAGAATTAGAAAAGAAAGGAAAGTAAAAATAGAAAGTCTATTAACTTTCAAGGAATGAATGGATAAAACTACACACTAAAATAAAACGTTACAGAGCAACTAAGTAGAATTGAGGTAAATTCAGTGGAATGGCTTGCTGTGTGCAACAATTTTGCTTGTTACGTTTAGCTCCTACTGAAAGCTGAAGACAATGGAATTTCTGTTGCATTCAATTAGCTGGGTCTCAATTGTTAAAACAGCTGAGTTGTGCAAATTATGTTTCTTAAAATGGAATTTTGGAATATTCATGAAGTGCATTAAAAACCTTAAATGGTAAGATGACCAATGATTGGCCAGATCAGTCGTCAGATCAAAAACCTAGCCATTTTTTTTACAAATGTACAAATTACAGCACAGTTTGAAATGTGATTTTTCCCAGGGTAAAGCCTTAGGTGCATCCAAGCATTGTGTTCAGCAAACTGCCACTCCACAGATAAACAATTAATTAAAAACTTAGAGGTTGAAATATCTAAAAAGGCAAAAGTAGGACAGATAAATCTCCACAGTTGTTTATCAATTCTTGAAATTATTTCTGCCATACTTTTGACTTCATAACGGATCATAATCCGAGTTTCAAAACTAGACTGTAAAACTGTGCAATATGTAATTAAAAACTTATGATCAGATTTTCTAAAAAAGGGCAGTGCAAAACTCAAAGAATATCAGTAACCAAAAACATTGGATACGTAAATAAAAAATGCCTAGATCCACCTAAAACTAGCAAAAATGGACGATGAAGCCGCTGACTCTTGGAAAAAAGCATTTCTGAAGGCCTAAAATGTTTCTATTAGTAATGTGATCTCTTAATACATTGCAGCTTGATTTTATCAAAAAAATCTTTCTTCTCTACCTATCTGGCGGGTAATTTTTTTAAATTAGAAATGAAGTTGATAAATAAAATTAGCTGGTTCTGATTTAGATCTGTTGAAATGACCTGTAGAATTTTAATATAAGCTTTGTCCTAAAATTTTGCCTTACTTGGAAACTTTCTTTCAATGCCAGATTCACACTAAGAAAACATTTGTAAACTGCATCAAATCATAAATTTTTTTCTTGGGTGGCACAAGTCGAGCTTAGAAATAATTCTTTGAAAATGGATACCTTTCCTATATGTACATTGTAATTATGTTTAAGTCTATATACAATTCAAGATGACTAAGCATATGGAGAAAATAATATTGAAGTCACTACGTATAAGCTGAGGGTATAGTTGCATTTTTTTCAAGAAAGAAAGAAAAAAAAAAGAAGAAAAAAAATCAGTCATTTTACTTGGTTCGATTGATAATATGAAATTCATATAAAATATTTCAAGAAGAGGAGATTGTCATTACTTTGGTTTTCTTACAGAAGCTTTCTATTTGTACTTCCATGCACCCCTTTTCAAAGTTTCATCATAAAAACTTCTGTTTTGATTCAATTTAAGAAAACAAGAGTTTTCAAAAGGTAAAAATGAAAGAACATATATGTAAGAGATATAAATCACAAAGAGTAAATTACTAGAACAATCACAATTTTGTATGAGGGTTTGTGAAAGTGAGAGCCTAGAGGTTAGGAATCCATGTCTGCCAAAATTTTGCTCAAACTTTTTTTGAGAGTTAGACTGTACTTTTTTCTTACTTTCCTCCCTGCTTTCTTCAACTTTCAAACATGCTTTTCTCTATGTTCTTCTGTAAAGCTTTCAATTACTTTCTATGAGCTGCTAAACAAGGTTCCAAATGGGCCTTACTTCAGGAACCACTGATTTTGTGAACGGTGAAAAAGTTATGCAAGGGAGTGAATTGGACGAGAAAATCTAAGAATATGTTAGAACTTGAAATCTTCAAAAAGTCATACTTCCGCTGGAAATGGCTGGAACTAAACAGTGCCCTGTTTCATGAAGACTATGGTAACCTCCTTTTCATTTTTAGATTATATTAATCATAACACCAGGACAAGTAATATGGCAAGAGAAAGCTTCCCAGAAAAAGTGAATAGATAAACGAAATTAGAAATTACACTAAAACCAGCTTAATGTAAGATTTTAATGATGGAACTGGATGCGGTAAGAAATTAATACAAGATGCACCATCAAAATGCCACACACAAAGGCCGCTATCTAAGGGGACTGTCGAGGAAGCTACCTATGCTATTTTCTCATTTACAAGCTGAGTTTCAAGATGTTCAATGTGTTTTGGATAAAATGTTGACAAAAACATATTTTGTAGCACTTAAAATCCTACTCTGTCTTGTGGCCCATTCATAGAATTTGATTGGTACTTCAAAAAGCATACAGAAAAATTATTTGGAAAATATTGCAAAACTCTTATTAAATCTCTCCAATGAGTTCATCTAAAATCTTATGAGCCTCAGTTTTTACGTAGCACTACAATTAAAATAGGTAATGTACATTTTTCCTCTTTTTTCTATACATCAGTTATGACTAAAATGCTACTTGAGAACAAGAACAATAAATAACCACTTAAACAAGTGCAAAAGGATTTGAGCAATTTTCTACCATTGATTTAATACGAGGATTGATACAATCACTTTCAATGAAATCCGGAAGTTCTGAATGTACTGCAAAGAAAACATAACCGGGGTCTAACAAATAAAACATTATCTACAAAGTAGTAGGTATATACATACATACATATTTACAGTTGCAATGACAGCTTATGATAACTTACCTAAATAACAAAGCATATTTAAAAACAAGATGATTCAGTCAGAGAATTGGAAAATTACAACAGGAACTATGAAACAGAGGACATTAGTCTCTTGTCAACTTCTATCTTTTCACCTTTTGACAGGAGAATTGGCAGCACTCATCTTCACACATGGATGCTGTGCACTTTTTCCTTGCACATTTCACTTTGCTGTCCTGAAAGAAAGGAAATGACAGCTTTTAGAAATATACTTACATATTAAGAGGGCAGAAATTAAGCTTAAACTTAGGTTTAAATATTGAGAATCTTTGTGATGCAGTCATCTAGAAACCAAGTTTGAATTGGTGGACTCCCCCCTCCCCCCTACAATGGATTCGTGGGAACTACCATAGAGCGTCTACCAAAATGAAAGAAAACAAAAAGGAACTTCAAGGCACCTCTAGGCATTCGAAATTGGATGAGTAACAAAGAATTGTATAGAGGAGTACAGCCCTGTACATGAAGCTAAGACCAACACTATCCTTTTCACATTATAGATTCATGCCCTTTTGAAACTAAGTTAAGGGCGCACAGTTCCTTCCACATGAAATAAGCATAAAAGAAGTTCATTTCGCAATTACAATTTTCTCAATAGTGGCACATAAGATGCTCTGCAGGTTTAGAGCAACAAGAATGTCAAAAAGAACATCTTATGAAAATAATAGCCTATAGTCCGTGTCACGAAAAGTGGCGCGTGAGGGGTGTAGCTGGTCGGCCGGTTCAGTCTATCGTTGAAGGGTTGAAGCACAGGTATTGGCCCGTAGTTGAGACTAGGGGGCTAAGCTCCCTGGCCGCTACGCGGCCCAACCCCCTGAAGGCGCTCTGCGCCATCAATGGGCCGCTTTGCGGCCCTATTTTTACCCTCCTATCAGTGTTAGTTTTATTTTTCCACTAAAAAATTTTGATATGAGATATACTTCAATTTTAAACTTCATACTTAAAATTACTTTAAAATTAAAAGGACGCGTTTTTGAATGACTGCTTGATGAAATATTGCAGTAAAACAATGAACAATGATGGTCAGGTAATAATTAAAATTTCATAAGTAGGGGATCGAACCCACATCGAGGTCCAGTGGACGCATTCGACGTCTTAGACGACTCGGCCACCGCTCGACGTAAGACCACCGGCACGAATCTTGTGTAGATAAGTGTAGAGCTGATGCGCAGGCTACACAGCTACTGCGCAACCTCCTCGACCACTGCGCATCCTCCCGCGCATAGCGGTAGCAGTACCGGAGCATTCTGTAAACTCACTCACTTTTATAACGTGATTTTAAAAAAACCTGGGTTCTTTTCCCAAAATCTGATTACAGCGGGCTCATCTAGGGCCTATTACCTCTCGATTTACGCAAAAATCATGGAAATCGGCCCGGTAGAACGCTCAAACGAACTATGACAAAAAGTATAGATTTACATTGTTTAAATGGGAGAAATTGCAACTTTACCACGTGACATAAAAAAACCTGGGCCATATTTTGAAAATCTAAAAAGAGTTGGCTTATCTAGAGACAATTACCCGTCGATAGCCGCAAAAATCATGAAAATCGGCCCGGTAGAACGCTGGAACTAAGCGTTACCAGTTTCGCAAAATTAGGAGGTCTCGGAGCTTGTAGTATAGAAGAGAGATGGAGTAACGACTCGGCCATCACCTGCGCTTCAACCCTTCAACGATAGACTAGACCGGCCGACCAGCTCCGCCCCTCACCCACCACTTTTCGTGGCGCAGACTATAATTTAATTGGAGCTGAAGTATTTTGGATACGGTGAGGCCTTTTTGCTCGACAGATAAATGTTAGAAATAAAAGGGTAGTTAAACTAACTACCACCCTGAGATACCTTCATTCCAAAGTTATTCCAGCTCGAGAATTTCTTAGTTCAATCAGTCGCTCCTTTGACATAACAGTATGAGTCTATTTCCACATGAGCCCTGCAATACATGGAAGTATACTAGAAAAGGGCTGGTGTAGAAACTTAGATACGCCCTTATGTCAGAGGAACGATGCATTGTTAGAGAAAACTAGGGAGAGTTGTCGAAGATTCTTACCTTGCACTGACAAATGACGCACTTGAAAGCACCTTGTTTAAAGACTTGAGGATGCCACTGCTCACCATTCTTATACAGTTTTCCCAAAGGATCTTTGCAACCACCCTCGGCAATGATTTCAGCCTCCTTGTCATGTTCTTCCCGCGCTTCATCGTGCATCATGGCAAGCTCTTCTGGTGATTCTGATTGCGGTTTTGAGAGTGGACAGACTTTGCAACAAGCAGTCTTACTTGGCCTTATCGCCATTTTTTCTTCACAGTTAAGCGGGGGGCATTTGAGCCTAGGACATCTCACTTCCAAAGAAATAGCCTGAAGGAAAAAAATGGCTCCTGTTAGTTAATTAGTGATATTTTATACACCATGAGTACCTGAGAACAACTTTCTTTTTTTCAAAATAACAAAAAAAAACCTCAAAATAGGAGTATACAATGACACATGGATATTGTTTTTGGATGCAACCCGCAACAAAAAAACATAAATAAATTAATTACTTTTTTTTGTACTATGAACTTACATGTACATGTAAGTTAAATCAGATAAATATATTTATTGCAGATCTGGGTTTACCTACTAATACATATTTCTTATCTTCGAAATTTTGGTTCTTTAGTGGGAGTTATAATGTTAATTCAGTTTTTAACAGGATTATTTTTAACCTTCCATTAAGCAGCTGAAGTGAGTGTTGCTTTTTATAGAGTAATTCATATTATGCTGGATTTTAACAGTGAGTAATTCCTTCGTTATAAATACAAATGGAGCTTCATTTTTTCTTCTATAATCGGCCGAATTTTGCTAACTAGTGGCTGCTGAATGAATAAGCAGAGGCATGATGCGTTATTGTCACTATACTTATACTACTATTGTCTAATTTTTCACTTGTTTCAACCCTACACTTGCATACATCATACCTACATCCGTTTAATTTGATCCCATTCTTTTTCTTAGGTGATTCTTATTCATCGATAAGCTTCCAGTTGTGCCAACATCATTCATCTCATCTTTGAAGTTGTTCAGGAAGCAGGAACTATAGTGTCCAATTTTTTGTATTTAGTAATAATTATCAGGAAAAAAATGTTCGTAAGAAGAAAATTTTCAGACTGATTCAGGACTAGAAGATAGACACAACAGGCTCTCTACCTGGTTTTTAGAAAGACAGGGGAAACATCGAATTTCCAATAAAGGTTTGTTTATCATTCAATACAGGAGACAATTAACATATTTTCAATTAATGGATACCATGATTATGTAATTATATATAGTATTTAGTTCGACTGCGTGGTAGTATGAAATAAAAAAATATTACTGGATATCAAAGACTCACATTACAAGTGCAGACAGCACAAGTATCAAATCCATTGGGAGGTAAATAGGGATACCACGAGGATCCAGGGAGATACATTTGATTGCCCAGAACACATCTCCTGGATGGTATTGCAAGGGCTTGTTTATGGAAGCTACCTGAAAATGAGAAATTCATAATTAATACTTCAGACCTTCACTTGATGATGTGTATTGAGAGTTGTGCATGGTGACAAAACAGAAAACAGACTACGTAAAGTAAGTAATTAATTACCTGTCAATCAAGGAGCTATAGTAAATTTACGAAGGAGAGAGGATGTGAGTTCAAATAATATAAGCAGTAGGACTATACTTATTCGCGTTAATTGGGACCAAAAGGTGGTGTGGATAATCCGAAATTACTGTCCGTGGATCAAAAAAGTACCATCCGAGTCATTTCATTGCAAATGGTGCAGCATTTAAGTTTTAAGCACTAAAAGGAGTGTAGAGTATATCACATATCAGGTAACAAATTACAGAGATCATTTTCTGATACCTTCAGATACCGAATTCTTTCAATTTTTTCTACTTGTCTATTGAGAGATAAAAGAATGAAACTTGCTGAGGCTGGTATAGGACATAAAAATGGAATTTAATATAAAAAATTACTTACGAAGGCAGGTAGGACAGCACTCGCCGGGTCTTTTCACAGGGTGCTGACAGGTAACTGGAGGACAAACATAAGGCGTACACTCCACGTGAGATTTCTGGCAGTGACACATTTTGCATGGTTCTAAAGAGGACTCCCATTGCGAGCCTTCTTCATAGAACTTGTTCCCGTGGTAACACTTATCATATCCTTCGATATCGTTGGATTGAGCATCATCACTGGCAAAATTCAACAGTGACAGGGTGTTGCTTGATTGAGGTAGACAGGATTCAGGAACTGGTAACTAAAAAGAAAAATTATAAGATAATTGATTGTAAAGCTTTGGAGATGAAAATTTCTGAGCAAAAATTCCACTCAGAAAAACCAGAATTTTTAAAAGCAGTCATGACAGGAACCAAATTAGAGTGTCCAAAGAATTTTAGAGAAAGATTGGAGAGATTTCCCCGATTTTATTCTCAACTTTTTTGATCTATTGGGACAGTTTTGTTTGAATGGTTAAAACTTAATAATTGATAATTGACAATAATTGATTTCAAGGATTTGCTTGCTGCTTGCCAACAATTGAAAAGAATCAATAAACCTATGGTCCTTGAGGACTTGTTTTCCTGCAAAATTCTAGAAAATTCCTGAAATTGTACCATAAAGAAGAAAAATAATTTAGCTCTTGATTTATTGTTTCAAATCTTGTTAACAAGCACTTGCCTTACTCTCATGGTCGTAACACTCTCCTCAACCCCCACTCCCTTGAGAGCATCACATAATTTATGAACGGCCCCTAACTTGCTTTACAGAGGACGTGAAAATAAGGTGAGGCTACCAATCCAAATTCTTAAAATAAAACTTACGTGATTCCAAGGTGTTCGTAATGGAGCAGCATCCAAGTTCACATCAAAGATCACAAATGATACAAGATGAGCACTTATGATTGCCATTTCTTCGTCCGTTAAACTAACTGAGACTCCTCCAACTGATGACCCAGTGAATTCTTTCAACAATCTACTTTTCACAGGGGCACCATCAACCAAGACTGGGACATCCTCCATGTGTAACTGTAGAGAACGGTTGCTGAGATTCAAACCACCAAGTGTAACCTATTTAAACAATGATGAGAGACATGTTCAATGTGTAAAAATATTTTTAATCAAAAACAGGAACAATTTCTTTTAATTTAGGAAGTCTTTCTTGATCAGACATCTTTAAATCGTACAGTATACTTATATATCCTGATTTCCTTGAAATGTTTTTATTAAGTTTCTACTCGTCTCGAAGAAACTTGATAAAAAAATTTCTGGGAGATCAGGATACAAAGGTACGCATTACAAGCTACAATTTCTGTTTTCCTCTGAAAAGCTAATTCAAAAATTAATTATTTGAAACTTTGAGATCTCTAGATAGCTGAGACACAGTATATTTACTAACAGTTTGAAAATCAATAATTACTACTCTCTAGACTCTGATGTATCTTTACTTCTTTCACTTCACTTGTATCAACGCAGTTCAGTAGTTCCCAGGTTCTGCTGCGCCTACTTTGCCACAACAGTTCAGATAATCCAGAGCTCCGACAACACTGTGTTTGGATAGTCGGGAGTTTATAGTAAAAGTAAATAGAGGTTGTTAGTGGATTCGAAGGTTCAAACTTAAACAGAACCACCCTATCGGAGACCCAGCTAATTTGGTGACTTTTTTTATAGAACGAAGTTAGGGTAAGATACTGGCATAAATTGCCATTGAACGAAGTTAGGGTAAGATACTGGCATAAATTGCCATTGAAAGGGGGGAAAATGATCACTTACTTCATACAGTAAAGTACACTCCAAGTCGAATCCAGCCCAAACTAGGCCTGTTAGATTTGCAGGTTCGTTTGTCGCGTTTCCTTTTATCAAGAGGGTGGGACCAGAGACACCAACCATTTCGGCAACAAGTCTTCCTTGGAGTGTACCTTGCACTATACTCTCCTTGCTGGGTCCTTCAATGATGATTCCAAGCTCACCTTTTCGTAGCATATTCAGTTGTAATGGAGAAAGTTTGCTCAGAGTACCATTGATCCAGCCTGCTTTGAGAGATGGCCGTAAATTTCGAACTGTCACCTGTTTTTGCATGGAAACTAGCAACAAATGAAAAGAAAAAGCGATCAGTTTAAGTTAATGATCAAAAGAGAATGATAAGACTCATAAAGCAAAAGAGAAATATGTTAACAAACACCTGATAACGTTATAAATCCAGTCAAAGAGAAATATGTGTTTCAACTGAAGAGGTATTTTATCAAAAAGGTTTCTGAAGGTTACAGGAATATTTGTCTGACAAGGTAACTGGAGGCTCAAAGATTTGTGTTGACATCGATTTTCAGATTAATTTTTAGAGCTGCCCCGGGTTTAGTTATTGTGAAAAACTTAAAGTACACCTGACAAAATATTATTAAAATAAAAAGGGAAAACTCTTGATACACTCACTCAAAGAGACCGCTGTCACATTTTCTGCACTATTGACTTGAATATGATAATGAAGCTTGTTTCCTTGATCCATAAAAATCCAACTTAAACCTGATGCATTAGACCTGTTAGCAATAAAATATGGATTAATAATTAGACAAATCATTAACAAACAAAAAAGAAGCAGGTAAAGGGGAGTTTGAATATAAAATAAAGGAATTCAGCTCGGACTAATTTATGTTTTTTGCTTGTATGATGTTCTTTACGACCCCTTTAGCATGATAAGCTTTAAATAGCTCTTAAGTTTTTACGGAGGTTTGGAACTCTGCAACAGAAGACTTTGGAATAAAATAACTATTGATCAATAAAATATCTAACAAGAAGTTCGGACCAACGTGGTGTTGGTTAAAACAATGTTCTTCACTGAATACACGTAGGTAAGCTATAGTAAGAGAGAGATTTTTGAAAAAATTGATTTGTAGGGAGAGAATAGGAAAATGGATGGAAAAATGGATTTTCACAACACATTCAGAGTGGTTTGATAAGGCAGTCTCTTAATCCCAAGCTATCATAGATGAATCAGCCAAAGAAAAAAAGATCTGTTTCCAGTGCAGCTAAAAATGATGAGCAGATTGGAACTCACATAGCATTAGAAGCTGGATCCGTCGAGAGAATTGTTTGGTAAATCTCACAAACTGCGCTTTGCTGAATTTTGCCACTTACACGTACATGCGAATGCCGAGAGAGTACACTTAAGGATATTCTTTTGTCTACCAATGCATTCAATAATGGCGGGGGTAAAACAGCATTAAATTCTAATTGATTTAGCTCATTGGATGGCTTTTTGACCAGTAAAATCTGTTGAAAGAAACATTCTAAGTTAGATTTTGGTGAGTTTTCCTGGAAAATTAGTTAAGTATACAAGAAAAAAACACTGAAAGTGTGGCTTGAATCCTAAGAGTAACAAATCGGTGGAATAAAGCAGGGTCCACACTATTTTGCAGCACTTTGGATATTCATGCTGCACTTTTCTAATTGGAAACATGACAAACACTTGGCAGGGTGAAAACCTGTCTTAATCCATTAATTGAATTCTATTCATTGTTATGTCTACAACTTACTCCCTAGTGACTAAAGGTGCATGCTCATTCTTGATGTTTTAAAGGTAAAATTGAAGCAACCTTTGAAATTTCGTTTCACGATTAAAATGTTTGAAAAATGATAGAGCACCAGATAATTTATAAGTCTCAGAAAAGCTGAAGGATTGCGTATGAACATTCAAGAATACTTGCTCAATTTTTTACATTCATCTGGCTAAATTAAGGAGACCATTAAATTCACCTTGTTCGTATGGACGTGATTATTAAGTGGATTCTCAATTTTTACAGAAACATTCACATTGGAAACATCCTGCGGTGAAAATATTCCACTAAATAGGAGAACTATGTGGAGCGTAGCTGAGTTTTGTTGAAGGGAAATCAATGCAGTGCCAGCACCGTGGCCCATGCTCAAATCATCATTTTCTAACAATGCACTGAAAAGTTCCTCCGACATGGAATTCATCCTGCAATTACGAGAGAAAATGAAAAAAAAAAAATATTAGAATTTCAACTTGAAAAATTGGCATCCATGTTAATGTATTTGAAACATAACTGGAAAAACGCATCTCGCGTGCTGTTATGATAAAGATGAAAAAGATAAAAAAAAGAAAGAAAAAAAAGATGAAATATTTGAAACATCATGTACATTGGTGCAAAATTAGTGGTAATTTTCAAAACGTGCATCAATCACAGAACTAAACACCGAATGTCAAAAATTTACAAAAATACATAGACAGATATAAAACTTTTAAAAATTACACAAGACAGTTTTCTTTTGAAATTAGAGGTTGTAACAAGATATTTAGGATTTATTGCTGCTGGGGTAATCATAAAATTGTTGATGATTAGCTATTATTTATAAATTGTTGAGCTTCATCTCACAGCATTCTTACGCTTTTCCTCTTTTGAACAACAATATTAAGCATTCACAATATTTACGGAATAAGCTGAAGAGACTTACGAACCTTACAAGCTGACCAGTGAGAGCATCACTATTTTGATCCCACAATAATGACACAAGGATTTTTTCCTGTTGCAACATTTTCTGGTAGTCGTGAGACACTCTTCTCCATACTCCACATACTTTGTTGGTGATATTTTGGTACTCAGAACTGACAGTTATTGCCTAAGAGTGAATGAGAGGAGAGAACAGTGAGTAAAATAGTGGAAAAAAAGCGAATTACTTAGTACTCAAAGAGCAATGACGGCTTTTCATGGATGCAATTACTTTAGTCCTTATCATTAAAGCTGGGAAATATTTTTGATAATGGTTGTTTCAATGACAAGAGCTAAAATTTATCCATTTAGAGATTTAACTTGAATGATCCTTGACAAAAATAGAACGATAAAGCAAACGAAAACATAGCCCAAATGTACAAATACAATAGGAAGGAATTTAAACATCGTTGTTCAACCATGTTTTAATTACTTCCTGGGGTACACAAAAAAAAACTTAAAGGAAAGCTTCCCTCCCATGGGTTGAACTAAGGGATTTGCTCCCACCCCAGCTATATACTTGGCCCCTCTCAAGAAATATGAGGTATTCTGCTGAGTAGGTGCGTGACATATTTTTTATCTTTGAAACAACCTGTACTAGATCAATTTTTCGGCATGAACAACTGAAAACTGTTTCTGAGAAGACTCAATTCTTCAAAATTTTCCTAAGAGGACCCCCAAGACCCCTTTCGATGATAGAGCTATCTCCCAAACCCTTTTCTAGGACTGTATAGATCCCCATAGTTTGGGCAGGGTGTCTCTAAGTGTCCCCCAGATTCCTCCCCACATTAACTGCCCTTCTGGTCCCCTCCCAGCAAAACTTTCCTAGTTTTGCTCATGCTCCCTTTGAGGCAAAGACAAAAATTAGAGGATAAGCAGCTATGATACCATACCTTTTCTTCAAGAATATTGCCAACTGAGTCAGTGAATTGGATTCGATGTGGTTGCGATGTTGAATAAAAAGAGTAATGCAGATTTCGTTGATAAAACACAAATCGTCCAGTAGCCACATTACTTTGCTTTCCTTTGACACTGAGCAAGGATTGTCCACGGTTGAATTGATGTGAAGAATCACTTGATAATAAAGTCACAAAATCTGAAAATCAAACCAACAAGATTGTTAATGTCAAAGAAATCACCCGAAGAGATCTTCTACATGTGTAAGTGCCATGAGCTCATCGATATTACTTATCAACTTCATTCGTATACTTTAAAAACTGACTAATTCAAATGAATTCTGTATGAGTGTTTTTTTTGTGCTGGATCCTTTAAAATATCATAGGTATGTAATACGCAGGATGGATGAATATTTATTATACAGAAAAAAAGAAAAAGAAAGTACAACAAGAGAAAAAGTTCCAACAGAAAAAGTAGTTGCATGATGATAATAAAATTAGAAGGAGACTTAAACTTACAATCTTTGGTAGTAGCATCAAAGTCGTTCATCGGCTCCGCACTTTGAAAGTTTGGATCTGTGGGAAAAATGATAAACAAAAACATTGGTACTAAAAAAAGGCACACTTCGTGAAATAAGTATACTCATACGAAAGGAAGATGAGGACCATAGATAATAGGTTCAGAAGGGACAAACAATTTGGTGAGCAACTTGGGGGCTGGAAAAATTAAGATTAAAAAAAAAGCAAAATTGCGAGGGAGGATTAACAGGTAAAATAAGCTCCTAAATTTCCTGAAAATCTTGGAAAATCTATTCTTCTCAGAGGAATTTTTAGGTTTTGTAGAGGTATACAAAATCCTCCCAATGGGCAGTTGTCAGTGTAAAGAAAGTATTCTGAGATGAAAAAGATGTTAATTAAACCAAGAATGTTATTGTGAAAAAATCAACCCTCGGCTAGAGGGGATTTTTTGCCAAATAATTTTTATTTGAATAAGACAGTGTTCTAAGCATGTTTAGAATACTGCAACACAGCCATTGGAAGACGTTATACAAAATAGCTCATTGTATTCTCTTCATAAAAATTTGGAATGCAATGCGGACTGATGCAGCCCGTCCGGCAAACGGACAAAACTAACGTTGCTGCAACGTTGCCGCAACATTATTTTTGACAGTTACATTGTGACAACGTTTTCGCAACTACTTCAGGCAACCACTTGCCGGGCGGGGAGGGTTCAAAAGTTTCCAATTCTAATTTTATTCACACAAGAAACCCTCTACTCCCTAGAGACTTTGCATAGAGGCTTTCAGGTCTGATAACAATAGCTGACAATGAGAAATATCCAGATTAAGCATTAAAAGTAAATAAATAAATTAATGTCAAAACAACTGTTACCCATTCTCTGTTGACAAGCTCTGACCTCACGATCAGTTTGAAACGACTTATTTTAAACCAAACTATGTGCTTCCAGATTATTGCCTCAGATTTAAGTGCACTTAAATTTATCAAAAAGATTTTACTGGACGGAAACATTGTCGAGAAATTGATTGGGCTTCAATCTTCTAGGAAAATCCAAAGGAAACCAACCTAACCTTTTTATCACCATGCCCGGTCCGAACAAAACAAAACGATTCGCCGCGCACCAAGCGGCAGCTAAACGTACTACACAACTTCACCGCGCCATCCCCCCCCCCCCCCCCCCCCCGAGCGCATGGCGTAGGCGTTAATGAAGCATTTTCCGGTTTGGTGAAAAACCATGTCCGGAGTGAGCTTGCCATTTCACGATTATACATGATACCACTATTCGACCACGCGGGAACTCGTGTTGCCTACACTAAATATTGAAGGCGAACTGATAACGCGTTAATGTAACCTCTTATGATTTGGTAAAAAGCTCTTTTTTCAGTATATTCGGAGTGAGCTTGCCATTCCACGATTATACCAAGTAGGAGCTTGTGCTGCTTACACTAAATATTGCCACAAAACTGATATTAGTAAACGCCGCTTCTGCCTCCCTGCTTCGTCATTAGAGCCTACGAAAAACATCTTTTCAAACGGGTCCCATTTGTGAAAGTTTCAAAACGGGTTTCCTTGGTCACTTATGGTTTAAAAAAAAAAAAATGAAACAATTCCTGTAAGCTTATTAGTTCACTTCACTCCGTGAGTTCAGAAAATGAATTTTAAAAAAGGGGCACCGCTAACGCTGAAATGTGGGTGAAGACGTGACATAAACGATCCAACCTGGTTTTCCCAACGATTCCCAAGAATCATCTGTTGCTTTCAGCAAAGGTAAGTATTCGCAAGTGGTACCTACCGAGCAGTATTTCAATTTTAGATCGCACTTTTTGAGCGATATGAAATTTTCTTCGGAGAAAAGATAACCCTCTTGAAAAATCAACACAAAATATTTAGGTATGCGATTTTTTCAGAACATCAACTTAACTCCCCCACACGCGTTCTGAATTAATTATGCCAAAAGATTAAAAGTTTCATAGTATCAATTGACACGGTCTTAGAATTCTACTCTCCTTTAATCTTCCCTCGTTGCTTCCTCATTCTCATGACGACTCGTTAGAAGTAAGAGTGAAAGAAGAGAATATAATACAAAGAAAAAAAGAAAAAAACCCAGAGATTTGAGTGAAAAATCCGAGGGGTACACTGAACAAACATCGTGAAGACTTGATGGATGATCGCTCACCGTCCAAGTCCTCGGGGCAGAGTTTGCAGCAAGTCTTCGGAAGCTGAACGGGCTCAGCACACGTCACTTTTGGGCACTCCAGCTCGAGATTTCGGCAAGTGACTTTCCCGACGATCTTGTTCTTTTTGCGGACCTGCAAGCAAAACATAAAATCAGCCTCAGCGGGTTGAGTAGCTAGTGCAAAAATAAAAAATTGGACCAGAGTTTGACAATACCGGGATGAGCAAAAAATACCCTCCGCTCGATACGACATAACTTGATGTGTCACAAGTGGAGCGAGGGGTTCCCCCTTCGAAAAAGTAAATATTTCTGGTCTCTGCCTCCTGAGCGGTGATTNGGGGGGGGGGGGGTGTCCGTGATTCCGTACAAAGGCTTGCCCTGCGAAGATTAGGACAACATTCCAAACCGGGAAATGTTAACTCAATAATTCAAAAAGTTATGGGGCTATAATTGTTTATACCTGTTGAGTTGTTAACCCATTTAATTGTTTAACATGAAAACTCACTTTTGATTTCGCCGCATACGCAATGAAGTTACCTAGGAGCATGATCTAGGAGCAACGTTCGAGAAACACGCACATTTACATCGCTCCATAAGCTTAAATTGAACTGTTAAACGATGTGGACCATGACCGACAAACCGTTTGGACATCATTTTGCAATTAGGAACGAGTATTTCTATGTCCTATGACCAGATATGATTTTGAAATCCAAAATGATAAAGCAGAATATTTTTTAACTGAGTAATGAACCCAGACGATTTTGGTTGGGTTCGGTTGGGTCAAGCAACTAAACTAACTCCGCGGTAATGCGTAGAGTATCACCAAAACTGAAGGCGCTTTCGGTTGATTCTCACGGCGCTCTGGTTGAAAATCATCAGTGATCTTATGTTTCGGAAACTTTTCTCGATCTTAAAAAAATGTTGACTACTATTTCCGACTTCTTTGAAAAAATAACCTATGTTTTACAACGTTCATTAGTTTCTTCGTGCAGATAGGTGATGGTATGGGTGAGCAAAAAATATGAGTTTGGTCATAGTTGCAAAATTTAGTACTCTGCAATCGCCTTCGATTTGACTGCATAGGCAATAAATATGCCAAAGAACGCGAATAGTTATGTATTCGAAATGAATACATCACTCTCACTCCAAAAACTTCGATGATCAAATAGACCAATAATTCAAATAGAGGCATTTGCCACTTTACAGGCTTGCCTTTAATGTCACCACATGGACGATCTCTCGCATTTTAGTTTTTAAAAGAGAAATAACTCTTTTGGTGGATACACTTTATGTATTACTTATTCCTTAAATTTTAGGGAGTTTTTCTTCACCCTGTCATACTTGAGGACTTTTTCGGTGAAAAGGCGCGCGAGGCTTGTAATAATGCTAAGATTATGCAATTTTTCACAGAGTTTGGTGACAGTCGACTTACTTCCTTACAATAGTGAGGAAAAACTCGGAGCAGATCAGTGGCGTGGCGTGCTTTGCGATGTATCGATTGATCGGCCATTTAAAAAAGGAAAAAGGAAAAATGGAAAAGTATCGATAAACAGGGTGTTCGCAGCGAACACCCTAATAATCGATCATTTACCACAGCTTCTATTGGGGAAATATCGATTAATCGCAAAGCACGCCACGCCACTGGAGCAGATATAGGTAAGGAAAAATGCATAGCAGGACTGCCGGATAAGTTACTTATAGGTAACTAAAGAACTACGTTGCACGATCTTGGCAGCATTGGAAGTCTTATACGCCCTTTTACCGAAAAATGCTTCTATTATTTCGTAAGAATTTCAAGTCATGATATCCGTGAACTTTTCCTTAAGAGAATTAAGTATGACCGCAAATGAAAATGCTGCAGTTGAGTTACATGTTTCCGGAATAGTCATGGATATGACATAATCATCAAGAGACCTCCTACGTGTAATTGAGCAAAACTATGGCACCACGACCGCGCCGATCCGCATGTTCAGTAATTCTTTTTACCGTTACGAGACTTTCGTTGGATATCGATAGGTGTCATTTACAAGATTGCGTCTAGGTAGATCGGCGCTGGTGGCTCGACTGATGGACACAGTGCCGCCAAGGATGATCGACTTGGGCCAATCAGTTCTCCAGGAATTTAAGGTAATCGTCATGTTAATTACTTTACCGTGCGGGAGAGAGTTAATATGACGCCCTGCAGGCTGATTATTTACTTTCATAGATCTCGGCTATAGATCTGCAAATCTCATCTATCGCGCATCTATGATCAAACTATTTGTGATTCTACACTGTGATTCTATCCGATGGATGAGCGATAGATCAGCAGAATTGGAATACAGTGTTGAACGATTGCTTTGAAATGAAAATAATCGTTCTAACCAATCAGACACCTTGATTCACCGAGTGAAGAAGAAGAAGCGCGTAGGAAACCTAACCTCCAAATAGATCATTTATCGTGTTTTACTCAACTCCGTCTTATCAGCTACCGTGGCGCAGTGGATAGCGGCGTCGATATTCAGTCGCTACCAATCCGAGCGATGGTGGGTTCGAATCCCGCCGCGGCAATACCAGTCGGCCAATCAGAAGCACAGTTTTAATAGATGTCACCGCATCTACTGCCTTAGGGCCGGGGGATCCGCATCTATCAGTGGATCTATAGCTGGATCTATTGAAATAAGTTCTGAATCGCTCGGAATCTCTGTCTCATAGATCCGCAGCCCGCATCCATCAAGGTCAATAGATGAGGGAAGTAAATAATCAGCCTGCTGGCGAGCACGCACAATTCTGGCATTCTGTCGCATGATTGTTGAGATTTGTTTCTCGTAGAATGACTTTCGATCGCTGATTTGTAGGATATAATAAATATGTGATCAAAAAATTGACCTAACAAATTGGCGAAGTAATAAGGGTTCGTTTTACTTAATTGCTCGACGAGAGCCAAATTTCTGCATCCGCGAATTGAAGCTTGATGTTAATCGGAATCGATGAATGATATGCAAACGTTCTAATCAGTGATCCTACCTCGTTTTGGGGATCGATAATGGATTCTTTTGATCGGCGACATGAGAGATTATAGGGCGTAGTTAGAAGGTGAGGTTCGTTCATTGTGATGCTTGGTGTCTCGTCGAAGATATCGATGGTAATGGTTGTACTGCCGTGCTAAGGAAAAACGCCGTATAAACATTCGAGAGTTGCCAATTTTTGCGGAAAATTGTGTATATTTTTCCTTGTAATTTCCTGATGCTTCAGATTAAATTGTGAACAAAATTGCCTGAAAAAGTGGAGGAATGTTATTCCAAATTTTTCGCGTAAATTATTTTTTTATTGAAGGCAATATGGCAACGCCTGAGGGCACATACGGCGTTCTTCCTTACGACGGCAGTGTAGGTATAGTCTTTTCTTAGATAGCTCTTCTTCTTATTAGAGTCTCCGCGGTTTACATTGTTTAAAAGGGAGGTTTAAAGAGACCATTAACATAGCATGATAAATAAGACGCTTTTAATAAAATTCGAGTAAAATTCAACAGTGTAGTTTTGAAAAAAAAAAAAAAAAAAAACCCTCGCAATTGATTATGATTATTCACCTATCCACTTCTACTGACAATTAAAAATACAAAAGAAAAATTTCTGCAGGTTTTGAAAATGTTGAGATCGCAGTTCGCACCTACTTTCAAGTTTTTCACGAACAGAGAATGTATTCTATAGTATTTTTCATTGTTTACATAATCCCTTGAAAACCTCTATTTTCGAAGTTATTGTCTTCAATTTTATTCGGCATTTCTTAAGATCGTCTTTTTCGTGACTATGCGTTCAGGATCAAAACCATCATGGCTACGGAGCAGTTTAAAGACCAGTTGAGGGACTTGGAGGACAATAAGGCGTATAAGTGCAGTTTTTGAAAAACTCGAGATATTAATCATTTCAAGTAAAACTAGTCTTGATGCATATTTTGTGAATAATTCGCTCCAAAATTCAAATTTTTAAGCATCAAAAAGTCAGTTTGACCTTTCTTTCCGCCAAAAGGGTCCATGAAATTTCGAAACTTCAAACACGCCTCTCTCGAAATAGCAAAAATTTCGCTCATGCGCCTTATCCTCCAAGCCCCTCAACTATGAACATGGAGAGTCCGAGACCATCAAGCCAAGTATCGCGATCAGTAAGTGAAGCGAAATATTTTAGAATTTTTTGTGAGAGGGGGCTGATCTTTTTCGAGATAACAGCCAGTACGTGGCGTGGCGTGAATGATCGATTATCGATATTTTCCCATTTGAAGCTATGGTTCAGAATCGATTATCAAGATGTTCGCTGCGAACACCCCATTTATCGATTCATTTCCATAGGTTTAAATGGTAGTCAATCGATACATCGCAAATCACGCCACGCCACTGAACAGCTCCACATTTTTCTTTTACATATTACCTCCACCCAGTTTGCTAGAGGGTCGTGGATTACTTTTGGGTTGTCTTGGCAACATTGCGGCGTAACCTGTTGGGGCATTCGACAGTATGCTTCAGCCTCCCTCTGCCTATCAATGACATGCCTCTCCTACGCGGTCCCTCCCCCTCACCCCGGCTACCTTTTTTACGATCGGGGTCAAGCAGTCTACCGCCAGCACCATCCCTCTTGACCACCGCACCACAGCCACGGCCCCAGGAATGTTCACACCATTCAGTCAGCGAAAGGGGGAGAGGGTGGGGGTGGAGGTGCAAGGGGCCCCAGGACTCCCACCGCTCTTACCTCGGCGCGTGAGTGAATGAGCATTCCACATAGCACCCTCATTTACTTCCGAGTGAAACTTATTTGTACAATGTTGCTTAATCGGGACTGACTTACCAGTTTACCGCGAGACTTCTTCTGAAAATAATCTGGGTATGATGGAGAATTTGCAAGAAAAAATTGAATGAAGTACAGTATGAATGGGGTTGATGAGCTGGATTACTAGTTTTTTCGACGATTTTTTTCTTGGTACGGTAAATTCGGGAATAATAGATTCAAAAGTGAGAAAATTTACCGCCTCGTGACGTCACGGGGAGACATTATTTCCTAACTAAAAATATATATTAAAGAAAAATTGAACGGGTTATTTGAAGAATGAAATAGCCGCCAACAGACGAATTTCGAGAAAACATGAGAAAAACTTGAATCCTTT